CGGCCCCGGCCCCGGCCCCAGCCCCAGCCCCAGCCCCAGAGCCACCCACCCACCCACCCACCCACAACTCTCACAGCACTGCTGGCCTCTGAGGTCCACGCCTGGACCGGAGGCACTCCTATCACACCGGCCGGGACACAGAGCTGAGCACACTGAAGAGACTGCCCGCACCATTCCTCAAGCCAGCTGCGTGTGTGGGCCTGGTCCAGGCAAGTCTGCAACCAGGGACCCCACCACCTTCAACCCAGGGACCCCCTAGACCCAGACCGCGAAGCCGACTTGGTTGCAGACTCTGACGGCCCCACCTTGCACACCCAGGCCAGCTCGATGGGGACCTGGGGGTGTCCCCTCCTTCTGTTTTTTTGTTTGTTTGTTTGTTTTTTGTACCAAGAGCATAAGTCCCAACGCGGGTCCCGCGGAGCACGCAGGCCACCAGGGGGCCTGTCGGGGCGGCTGGCCACACCCAGGGTGACGGTCCGCACCGCGGGCGGGCGGGCGGGGTGAGCGTGGACAGTGCTCACCCGGCCCGGCCGTCCGGAGCCTGGACCCCCCCCCCCCCCACACACACACTCCTGTGCCCCCTACCCCGAGCGGGAAACTGAGGCCTGGGGAGGGCCGTGCTTTGTGCAAGGTCACGCGGAGGGGCTGGGAGCCAGGCTCCCCGCGCCCCGCCGGTCCCCGCGGCGCGCCCAGCCCGCATCCCTCCCGGCGCCGCGGCGGGAGGCGCAGCTCGCACGGCCGCGGACGGGAGGCACGGCCGGCGGCGGGGCCGCCCTACCTTGATGCCGGCCGCGCAGGTGGCGGTGGCGTCCGGATCCGGTTCCGAGCTCCTCGCCGCCCGCCGAGTCCCCGCGCCCAGAGCCACCGCCTCCTCCTCCCCCGCAGCCCGGCGGGCGGGGCCGGCGGGCGGGGCCGGAGGCTGGCACAGCCCCGCCCGCGCCCCGCGGGGCCACCCCTCCTCCTCCTCCTCCGCTCCCCACCCGCGCTCCGGCCCCCCGGGGCTGGCCTCGGGGCGCGCGCGCGCGCGCGCACACACACACACACACGCACACGCACACGCACACACACACACGCACGCACACACACACACACACACACACACACACACACGCGCGCTCACACCGGCGCTCACTCGCCGCAGTGATTGGGGCGGGCTCTCCGGCCACCCGCCCGGCTTGGCGTCCCGCCGGTCCCTCGCTGCGTGGGACCGGACAAGGGACTCGACCTCGCGGAGCCTCCGTTTTCCCCTCGGTGAGATGGAAACAGTCATTGTGTCTGTCTCAGGGAGCCGCTGAGAATTAGGTGAGACGACGAAGCGCGCGCGCAAAGCCCGCCGCGGAGAAGCGCTGGGTGAACCCGCCCGGGAGCCGGAGGACTGGGAGCGCGCGGGAGTGTCGGAAGGATTCCCTCCCTTCTCCCTGCAGCCAGGAGGGGGCGCTGCTGCGCGGGCTCGGGATGCGGAGGCGATCTAGAGATGGGGAGCGCCCCCCACCCCCACACCCCCGCCTTTGAATATCACCACCTAACACTGTGCTTAGCACCTTAAATGCATTAATTACCTCACAAGCCTGTGAGGTTACACCGTTACTCAGTTTACATATAAGGAAGCCGAGGCCCAGGGAGGTTGCCTCGCTTAAGAACACACAGCTAATTATCCAACAGTAGGCAGGATGGCTCCCAAGACCAAGCTGATAGCCGCTCCACCTCTCTTGAGAAAAGCTCTTTGTTTTGCTCAGTGTGGTATCTCCGGGGCCCAGAACAGTGCCTGCCACAGAGCAGGCACTCAGCGGTGGTGGAGCGATTAAAAGTGCACACCGTGTCCTCACTTACTTTTATTTCATTTAATCCTGATAACTCCTTTATCTGGCCACTATGATTACCCCCGCTTTACAGATAAGAAGAGAAGCGAGGCTTAGAGTCGCTAAGTATTTGGGGGTCTCTTGGTTATCTCCTTAGGAAGAAAAGCCAGGGCCAAAGCCCGTGAGTCAGTGTTCACTGGGCCACTCACTCCTCCGTGCCTTTGCTCACACCTTCTCTTCCGCTAGGAATTCTTACGGCGGCAGCTCCCACTGTCTAAACCTGCTCATCCTTCTTTCCAGGTCTGCACCGACATGCTTCCCCAGGAAGTGATCCAGCTCCTCTGCGGATGCTCTCCCCCCTCTCCCCCGCCCCCAACCTTGTGTCTGCACCATCCCACACTGTGCCACGAAGGTAGGTGGCCGAGACTGCTTGGGAAAAGGCTGGTTTGACAGGGACCTGTGGGGGCCGTGGGCATACGGACTGAAGTGCAGAGGGGAGGTCAGTGGAGGCCACTGCATAGACATGCCCAGGACCCTTGGAGGCGCTGTGTCTGTGGGAGGTGCTGCCCTGGTCCATTTACGGAAGGCCTCTCCCTGGCATCCTCTGCATTGCACACATGGGGGGACAGAGTGGAACCCTGGCTGGAAAACCACATTGTAGGTCTGGCTCCAAAGCTGGGCCTATCTGCCAGTACTTCCTGCTGGGCTGTACTACTGATGGGGATGGGCCAGGAAAACACCTTCCTTCCCTAGGTGTCAGCATGGCCTGCTTTGTTTAACCTGCCATGTAAGGGACCGTGTGTGCGTGCGTGTGTGCGTGTGCGTGTGCGTATGAGAGAGAGAGAGAGAGGTGGGTGGGGGTGGGAGGGACTTGTCCTCTGTCTACCTGCCCAATGGGGACTTTCTGTGCCATATGGTCCTGTGCTGGGGGAGGCTGAGCTGAGAGGGGCAGCAGCTCCTGGGAGGTGAGGTTCTGAGTGTGGGGGTTGGGGGGCTTCCCAAAGTGCGCTCCAGGCCCTTCCTCTTTTTGAGCACTCCCCTTATTCTTAGGGATTTGGGCCCAGTGGGGGGCGAGAGGGAAGGGCTGGTTAACTCCTTCCTCCTCCCTGCTCCCTGTCGAACTGGCTGTGGACCTCAGCTTGCTGGGGTCTAGTATTAGTCTGGAGGGGGGTGCTTTGAGCAAGAGGTCCCATCCCCTGGGGTGGGAGGAATCAGATCCTCCAGCCCGGGGAGGCAGCGGCCCCTGGGGATGGGGGCGACAGCTGTGGTGCAGGGCCAGGAACCTGACACCGGGGCTGGGCCCCAAACGCCCTCCAGGAGCAGGAGGGCGGGCAGTCTCTCCAGGAGCAGCAGCAGCCCCAGACCTTAGGAGTGTCTGTCCCTGCCACAGCCTGCTGGTCAGGCGAAGGCTTTTCCTTTCATTTTTCTCTGCCTGGGGCTCTCCCCACGGGCCCTACCCCACTCCGGAGGCCGCCGAGGGCCAGGCTGCCTTTTCCCTTGGGTCCGTGGGGGAGGGGAGCCGGGAGGAACCCTCCTTGGTTCTGCCTTTGGGCCTCTAGGCTTGAGCCTGGCTTAAACTCTTAGCGGTGTGGCTTTGGGCACGTTAACCACTGTGCCCGTCTCCTCGTCTGTAAGTGGAACCTGGTGGGCTGGTGCTCTGCCAGGCAGTTCCCATCCCGGCTTTAGCTCCCCCTGGTCAGTCCTCACTGCCCTGTGGTCCCTGACCTCTCGGTGTGTCATAATGCCCGTGCCCACAATAGGCTCTGAGCGGGCCAAGCTCCAGTGTTTTTGAAAAGCTGCTCAGAGGATGCTACAGGGAGCAGGGACCAGGGAGCAGGCCAGGCTACACAATGGGCAGAGCCTCTCCTCTCGGGGCAGGAATAAGAAATGGGGAGGGGGGAGAGGGCAGAGAAGGTGGAGGAGAGAAGAAAAGTGGAGAGAAGGAAGAAGGAAAACGAGGAAGGGGAGCATGGGAGAGTTGAGGGAAGATGAGGGGAGGAAGGGGAGTGAGTAAAGAGGGAAGACGGAGGAGGGCCCTCTATCTGGCAGCTCCTGTCTGCTCTGCGGAGTTTACCTTTTGCTGAGGAGGGAATCTGACTTTCAAGGCTGCAGACTCTCCTGGAGCTGGGCCTCCGCAGGCCTGAGCCCCCGCGAGTGAGGGTTTCCTCAGGAAAGGCCATGGCACCAGCTCAGCACCAGCATCTTCCCCAGTGACAGCCCTTGGGTTACAGCACCCAGCTTGGTGGGGGTACAGCGAGGATTCCCTCCCCCCCCAGTCCAACCTGACACCACCATCACACCTCACAGATCTGTCCGGTGATGAAAGTGCCTCAGCATATGAAAAGGAGAGTAAAAAACGAGAAAGGCCCTTTGTGAGGATCCGCAGGAGGCCCGTGAATGTGGTAGGAAAGAGCCCTGAGCACCCTCCCCAGGGTTGTGTGGGGCACAACGTGGGGAACTGGACGCCTGATGTGCCAGCCCATGTGCACACCCCTGGTCCCCAGCGATGGGCATGGTCTTCTTCCCCAGCTCTGGACAGGAGCCTCAGGTCGGAGCTGCAGGAACAGTCACGGGTTTTGCAGTCACTGTGGCCTGGACGCCCTGCCTCGAGGGGACGGGGAGCCTCTGACTGAGGAGGGGCTGGAAGAGCCCAGAACTGGAGCCGAGTCCCGACTTGGGGCAGCTGCCCTCGCTCTCTCACCCTCCAACCACCCATCCTTCTGAGAAGAGGTGGCTCTTCTTGCCTGGTCTAAGAAGTTGGTGGTGGGAGATCAGGCCAGACAGCTGAGCCAGGGCTCTCTGCCCAGCACCACACCCAGGTCCTCTTGGGACCGTACCCCCCCTGCCCCCCCCAACCCATGGGCTGTGAGCGGAAAGGAAGGCCCGTGTGGTGGGCTCACCAGGAACAGGTGGTTACTGAGAATCCTAAGTTCCAAAGCTCATGAGCTATTTTTCGTATTTACATGGTTTATACAGAAGAACTCAGAGAATGTTCACAGTTCCCTATAAAGACAGCTCTCCTGTCTGCGTGCTAAAGTGCTCTGAGGAGGAAGTGAGAAAGGGGCAGCGCTGGGCACGCAGCCAGCACGCAGGTTCTGCTGGGGGGCGGAGCCCAGAAGCGGAAGGACTTGCCCAGCGTCACATGGGACGGGCTCGGGGCTGGACCACGGCTCCAAGGCTGAGCTGCTGGGGGCCTGCCGGTCAGGAATGGAGAGGGCTTTGGGGAGTGCAGGTGGCCACGCCAGGCTCCCCGTCCCCCTCGTCATCACTGGCGCAACCCTCGGGCACCACCGGGTCCTGGGCTGCCCGGGTCTCCAAGTACTCGGCCTTGAGCTGCTCCAGCTCCCGCAGCTCGGCCTCCAGCCGCTCCCGGTGGACCGCCCGCAGCTGCTGCAGCTGTTTCATGGGAAAGGGGTTCATGTCGTTGAAGGCGATGCTCATCAGCTTCCTGGGGGGAGAGCACAGTCAGCCCAGAGCAGTGTCCCAGGGCACTCACCGTGCCTCCCCAGGCAGGTCTGCACCCACTCTGCCCTCGTGGCTAAGCCCCTGGCCCCTATGCTTGGGGAGCTCACCTTCCAGGGAGGAAATAGTAAAGAAGACAGTTTAGACTCAAAGTCCTATGTACTGAGGCAGGAGGAAGCTTGGGGCTATGGGAACTCTGACCCTCTGAGGAAAGGCTGGTCAGGGAAGGCTTCCTGGAGGAGGTGACACAGGAGCGGGTGTGATGGTAGGAGTGGTGGGGAGAGCAGGGGTGGGTTCTCACCGGCTGTTACAAATGGTCTTGGTGAAGAAGCGCAGGTACTGGTAGATCTCCAGGTTGTCCTGTAGCCTCAGGATCTCCTCCTCGGTGTACTTGAAAATGGCCAGGGCATAGCGGAACACCACCTGGGGCCAGGTGGGGGCTCAGGTAGGGCATGGGGGGCCAAGGCAGGATATCCCCAGAGGGAAGAGAACCCACACACCACGGTGGGAGTCCCTGGACAGGCTGCAGAGGTTGGGAGCTTGGAGGCAACGTGTGCAGGGAGGCCACGGGGGAGGGGAGCTTGGACTCTGGGGACTGGGGCTGAGCCTGGCTCTTCCCCGATGGGGTAACGCTGTCTTTCATGGGGCACTAGCAGGAGCTGGTGAAATGGCAAATCCCAGGGTTCTGGGAACTGTGCAGTGCGTATGTCATCAGCCACCGTGTGGGAATGGGTGGGCGGTGGGGAAGGGCCTGCCCAGGGTCTCCCAGCAAGGTGGAGCAGAGCTGGGACCAGATCTAATGCCAACCTCCCAGCCCAGGGCTGGGTCCACGGGAGGAGGAGGGGCACGGTGACTGGAGTGGCCATGGATGGAATAGGGATGTGCCTCCTGGGTCCAGCTCATGCTTCCTCTCCGGGAAAGGAACCTCCCAGCTTTAGGAAAGCATCTTGGGAAGCAGAACCGCTTCCTCTCATGAGTGCGAAGCACGTGATTTACAGAGCCAGGCTCCTAGCAGATGTCCCCAGCAGCACCGAGGGGGCCACTGTCTGCCCGTTTTCGGGGCAGAATGGAGACCCAGGGGAGTTGGTCCTGCCCAGGCCCCTTGCTCACCCCCGCAGTGCCCTACCTTGGTGCCTTCGTACAGGAAGGCGTCCCAGACCTGGAGGAGGATGTTGCTGATGAGACTGTCGGCAAAGACCACGAGGAACCAGTTGAAGGTGACGAAGGAGAGGTCCACGCGGAGCTGCCCCAGGTGGGCCATCAGCCTGGGCAGCTTCTCCGAGAGGAGGTCCTGGAGCACCCGCTGGTCCACCTGGCAGCCGGCGAGGGGACCCATCAGCTGCTGCCCCAGCAAGGGGCTGCCTCCAGCCCCCAATACCCAGCCACACAGTCCTGGAGCCTCAGGGTGGGCCCGCCTGCCACCAGGGGTGGCGGGGGCGGAGGGGCTCAGGGCAGCCTGGCTGGGAGGAGGCACAGCAGCACTTCACTCGCTGCTCCCAGGCTGGAGTGCAGGCTTTGCACGGAGGTCTCTGTGGGATGGTAAGGTCACCAACAGTGGAGTTCTGGCCCCTTTGTCCTCTGAACCTCAAGCCAAGCAGCTCAGCCTGTACCAGCTGACGCCACAGCTGCTTCTCTGCACCCATTTGGGCCTGATGCACAGGATGCTGGGGCATGTTTGCGGGAGTCACACCGTCCTGCTGCCCTGGACACCAATGGCTGCCAGTGGCCTCCATCCTTGTTTTACGTGACCCTGCCGATGACTCCTAGCACTGGCTCCTTCCCAGGCTCTACGACATGGTTCTTTTCTGGTTGACCTCCCACCACCAAGACAGGCCCGTTAAGCCTCCTGGTGCTCTTGTTTTCCTATAACCCTGGTTCTCACCCTCCCCTTCCACGTAAATCCTCTTTCAGGTGTTAGCTGTTGGCTGTGGCTACACCCTCCCCTTCCGTCCTCTCCCAGACCCCAGGTCCACTGTGGGGGCCGAGTCTAGTGTCCAGCTCAAAACCTAGGGTAATTCGCTCAATCTAAGATGCCACTGAGCCTTCTGAAATATGAACTAATATGATGTCTGGGATTTACTTCAAGGCCATCAAAGGAGGAGTGGGTGGGAGTCTAGGTGAAACAGCACTGGCCTATGGGAAAGGGAGCCAGCTCCTGCCTTCTACCCTCCCCGCTTCCAGCCTGGGCCACGGCCACCCTGGGACCACATGATGAGCGGGGGGATGAAGGCCCACGCCAGGATGGCAGAGCAGAGGGCTAGGAGGAGCCTTCGGCTTTTGCTGACTGAGAAGAATCCCCCCTGTAAGCCACTGTGAGCTGGGCTTTCCTGTCTCGCAGCCAAACATCCTCACCTGATTCACCGCCTACGTCTTCATCTCCAGCCCTGACCATTCTACTCCACACCTGAGTACCCACCCCGCCTGAGCATCCTGCACCAGGTGGATGTTCCAGAGGAGGGATCGAAGTTGGGGGATGGATCGTAGGAGGAAAACAGAACAGGACGGGCGGGCAGATAATGGCTTGGCAGGTTTGGGGCTGGGAGTAAGAAAGTTCCCTCTAGGTGGCTTCTCTCCATAAAACAGATGGTGCTGATGCAGCAAGAACAGGGCAGGGGTGAGGTGGGTGAGGCGAGAGAAAGGGGAGGCTTGAAATGGTTTTCCATTTACAGACCCAGGCAGTAGTGCTTCTCCCATTCAAAACTGGACAAGCCCGGGGTCAGAGAGGCGATCTCGCTTGCCAAGGCCACACAGCTGAACACCGGAGAGTGTGGTTCTCAGCTCACTGGACTCCTGGCCTGGCCTGTGCTGTGGGCAGCTCAGGCGAGATGGTGGAGGCAGCTGTGCGGTGGGAAAGGACGAGTGAGTGTGTGTGTGAAGAATCACCACCACCTCCATCCTCCCAGCCCATCTTTCACCTTCCTGACCTCTATTTTGAAAATTTCTACTGGCAAATAGCAAGTGACACTCGATTTTCTTCTCTGCTCCCCAGAAAACCAACCGTTTCTAATGTCACCACTGGAATAACAACTGTCTATCCTGTGGGCAGGGACCCCACAATTCTAAAGGCCATCAACTCACCAGCACTTCCTAGCAGCCCCAGTGAGGGCCTACTGGCCCACTGTACAGAGGGATAAATAGAGACCCGAGATATTCCGACTTTTCTGAGACTTATCTGCGTAACTCCTGAGGCCCCTCCCTGCCTTGCTTACCTGGGACGCTGTCAGCGTCTTGCTGTAGTAATCGGCTGGCATGATGGTCTCCACGATGGCCACCAGGCACCAGAAGGCACTCTCCTCTTCACCCAGCACCAGCAGAGCGACGGCTGCCAGCCTGTGTGGAGGGAAGGAGGCCAGGAATGACAGAGGTGGCTCCCTGGCTCCCGGGAGGAAGTCCTGCCCCACCCTACTCCCTAGCCAGGCTGCCGGGTTTTTTTTGGTACCTGGGGTGAGACAAACATGCTTTTGGGAAGTACTATTAATACATCATCAGGGATTTCCAGAGCAAGGAGGATCAGCTTAGAGCAGGGGCTTTAAAGTCTCTGCCTGAGTGTGAATCCTGGTCTTGCCACTTCCTTCCTTACTTAACTTCTCTGAGCCTCAGCAGCCTCCTAATAATCACAGGACTGTTAGGAGGATACACACAATTGACACATGTTAAATGCCCAGCACAGTGCCTGATATGTGGTGAGTGCTTTCTTTATAAGTGTTAACTATTCTTTTTTTTCCCTAAAAAACACACACACACACACACACACACACATATTTTTATAGATTTCAGAGAGAAAGGGAGAGGGAGAGAGAAAAACATCAATGATGAGAGAATCGTTGATTGGCTGCCTCCTGCATGCCTACAACCTGGGCCCTGACCGGGAATTGAACCGTGACCAATTTGAACCAAGGTTCAAAGGTAGACACTCAACCACTGAGCCATGCCAGCTGGGCTGGCTATCCTCATCTTAGTACCCACAGGCTTTGAGAACCTTTGCAAGTGTGCAGACCTCTCTGAGCCTTCCACCTGTGCAATGGGATTAGTACTTCCTGCCTCCCAGGGCCGAGGCATCTGGAGTGAGAAGATAGCCCTGACTCAGCATCCCTGCGTGGTTCACTGTCGGGCGTGTAGCAGGTGCTTAATACCTGGAGGTCATTTTCTCCTTTGCTTCCCCTCCCTGCTAACGTTATCACGGGGCTCTAATGGGATCCTGGGTAATGAAAAACCACAGTGCTGAGCAGGGAAATCTGCCTGGAAAAAGTACTGCTTTCTCCTCTTCTCTCATCTTTCCTGATGGGTCTTCCAGGGCCAACTCAGAATACATTTTCCAAAATGTCCTTGTGTGTCAGGATGCTAGGTCAACACAAGGTCACATGTTCAAAGATGCTTAGGGCATGCTGCACACTCTAGCTCAGTGGTCGGCAAATTACAGCTCATGAGCCACAGGCACTTTGGCCCCTTGAGTGTGGCTCTTCCACAAAATACCACGGCCTGGGCGTGCACTACAGTGCAATTGAAACTTCGTGGCCCATGCGCAGATGTCGGTTTTCGGCTCTCAAAAGAAATTTTAATCGTTGTACTGTTGATAGTTGGCTCTGTTGACTAATGAGATTGCCGACCACTGCTCTAGCTCCCTTGTAGAGGCCTCTGAAATCCTGTAGTGAAGACACCTCGTTACCTGTGGGCAGTGGCCCCTTTTGACAGCGTACCCCCATGAGCACCCTTGGCGGTGTTGGCAGGCTCACACTCCAGATGGGCACACAGAGCACATTTCAGTGACCAGATGTTTATGCTTCTCTGGGCTTTTACTGGATTACCTCCAACCTCTTCTCAGGTTCATACTTCTTAAAGAAACAGGGTCAATTCTCAAAAGAAAAAAAAAAATCCTTTTATCCCTCCCATAGACTCAGGACTCTCTCTCCATTCTGGCTAAAATATTTGTGCAAACCCTCAGTAGTCTGAGCTGAGTGGATGAACAGTCACAGGTCTCCTGGGAAATAGAGAGCCCTGCCCTCTCAGAGCTGGGGAAGAGTGGTGGTGGGTTCAGAGGTCATTTAGTTCAGGGATAGCAAATGTACGATATCCTGGCCACCACTCTCTTAGACTATGCCCAGGGCAGACATAACCACTGGTCAAGGCACCCTTCCCACTGAGTGTGGAGGCTGCCTCAGAACTCTCACAAGACAAGGCTGCAGGCAGCTACATTCTACCAGTCAATATACATTCATTGCCGACACCGTAAGACTGAGGCCTGAAAGCAAAAGTGACCCGCTTAGGGTCACACAGTCAGCTGGAAGCAGGGTAGGAAGAGAACCAAGGGCTCCCCAAGTCCCTGCCGGTGTTCTCTCCACCTCACCCCATTCATTAGAGCCTGGATGTGCTGAGTGCTGGAACTGGCTGCCAGCATCAGCTTAGATTGCTGCACATTAAAAGCTACTGCTACCAGCTGGGGCCTATGAACTGCTCAGGGCCTCAGCCATTCCCCAACCTAAGGCATTTATTAGTAGAGCCCAGGGGATCTGCAAAGAAGGTAGCATGGTTATGGAGGGGGAGAGGCACAATTTTTAGCACTCTGATTATATTTTAAAGGGAAATGGCCTTAAAATATTTGCTCTAAAATACCACTAAACCATATCTATCACCCTCTAAATAGGCAGGATTTATTGCATATATTTATAAATCAGCGTCTGTCCGCCACAGGATACATACAATTCCCACAGTGGACACTAGATGGTGGCACTCAACAAGTGAAAGGGTTTACTAGTGAGAGCCTTTGAAATAAGCACCACCCTCTACATTAAAACAGGTTCTACTACAAATAACTTTCTATTTAAAGCAGTCACATGGATATTTTTCTAAACACCAATGATCATTTTTTTAAAAAGCATTTGAGAAAGAAGTAAAGAAATACTGTGTGTGTGTCCCCCGACTCTGGGCCTCAGTTGCTCCTGTGTACCCCTCTCCACATAGGGAGAAGCGCCTTTCCTTTTGACTTACCTCTATACCCCCTCCTGCTAAAAAAGTTTGCCTGCCTCTTCAAGCACCGATGAGCTGTTCTAGGTTTAAATTCAGAATTCCCAGTAATTGTACGTGTATATGCTCAATTTTACTCAATTTAGACTGGAAATAAAGTGTCAGAAATATCTACCCTTGAGAACCATTTGCATGTGAGTAGGGGCAGTCTGAATGTTTAATCTGTGTTGAGTAAATGTCATACACCACTACCAGAAAAAAAGATCAGAATGGCTTATGTAAATTTTGCTTGTGTATGTATGTTTCAAGTGAGTCAAAACTTGCTTTGGGAAATATCTGAGATTGTGCAACTTCTCCTGAGATGACGGGGGGCATCCGAGAGAGTACCCACATACTGAGTGGGCAGCCCTACCAACGCACCCACCTCTACTCCCGCTCTTCTGCTTATTGGTGTAAGGAGCAATGAATCCAGGCTGGGCCCATCAGATTCCTTCCTTTGGGAGTTTAGATCTGACACAGGAGGGATGGACAGAAGGGAAGACCCATTGAAAGGCTCTAGGCTCAGGGCTGAGGTCTCCATTCTGACATCCTCCATGGAATGATGGGATTACTGAGAGAGAAGGAAGCAGAAACGTGGAACAAGAAGCCACAGACCACGCAGCCCCAAGGGGGCTGAGAGCAGTACTCTCTCAGCCGCACAATTGCAGGGACCTGGTCCCCATGGAATGCGGAGGGAAGATGCCCCCTGGGATTGTGCAGTTGCCTGGGCTTCCAATGACCATGTGGTCTGTAGCTCTATTTTCATCTCCTGGCTTGTGTATGGTTCTCCTGTAACATTTACAAATTCTCTTTTCCTGTGGCTCTGCTGAGTGGGTTTAGTTTGAAGGAAATGATCCCTGACCCAGACAGTCCCACAAGCTGTGAGCTGGGTTGTGCTCGACACAACACCAGGAGACCGTTCATGCTTTCCCTGGGGGTGGCACTCCCTGAGCACAAACCGAGGCAGAGAACATGGCATGAGGGGCCCTGAGCTCTGGCCCTCTGCCCTGAACGTGTCCTTTCACTGCTTGTCCCCATCGGTACAGTGGGGATCATCGCAAGCCTCCTGGGCTCACCTCTCCAAAGAGAGAGGGGGCTGCTTGGAAGGACAAAGGCTGTTGGGTCCTCACGGGGGCCTTGGTGCTCACCTGTTCAGGCCCTGGCAGTAGCCGATGGAGGGGTTCTGCCAGGAGAAGGCCAACAGCACCCGGCGGAGCTTGTCGGGGAAGCTGGAGGTGGGACAGGTGAAGTGCTTGTTGTTGGTGAAGGTGCGGTTCAGGTCCAGCTCGATCTGGCGGGCAGCAGGGTGCTTGCAGGTCTGGCCCCGGCTCAGCAGCTCCTGGTAGCGGCCAAGGACCTGCAGGTGCTGGACGCGGCGGTGGATCAGCCACCTCCAGACTCGAGGCCGGTGCTCTTGGGACACGCCCATCCGCAGCAGCTGCTTGAGCTCCACGGAGGGTGCAAGCTCACCCAGGGCAGCCCAGCGCTCTCGCAGGGGCCGCTCCATAGCCTCGTGGGCCAGCAGGTGGTGGGAGCGCACCTCCAGCGCCTGGATCTTGGCCAGCAGCTTCAGGTCTTCCACCTCATAGTTGGGCACTGTCTGGAAGCCATACTCATCATACTCGCTGCCAGGAAAAGCCCATGTTAGCAACACCTTGCAGATCCCTTCCCCAAATAAGGGGCAACGGGGGAGGGGTACGCCTTAAGCAAGGCTCCTGTCTGAGTTTCACTTCCGGTTAGTCATGCAGCTCTGACAGGTCACTCGGTTCTCTGTACAATGGGCAGAGAAACGCCTCACAAAGACCCACTGAGGTCCTGTGTTACTACTGGGGGCCTACACTGTGCCTGGCACAGAGCAAGTGCTTGAAGAGACCTTTACTCCGTGCAAATATAAAGGATCCTCTTATTACTTCATGTTGCCTTCGGCCCAAGGAGTCTTGCAATACCGAACCCCACTTCCACAGCCAGTAAGCCCCAAATGGATGGGCACAGACAGCATCAACGCTAACCGGAGGTGGGAGGGCTGGGGATCCATTTCAGATGGCTGTTCATTTATTCACCATTTGCCCCTGTGTGGGCTCTGCACATGCTATTTCATTGAACCCTAGGACTCCTGCAACCAGAGTTGCACACACATCTGTGGGGGCTACACATGAGCTCTGAGTGGGTTTAGTTTGAAGGAAACTGAGTGGTGAAGTGACTTGTCTAAGGTCACTCAGTGAGAGACCCACGTGTGGCTCCAAGACGGGGACTCCCAGCCACAGTGCCGTCTGTTTCATTTAACTGTCCTTGTCCACTGGGCTCAGGGGAGACAGCTGGCTTGTCCCTTCTCCTCCCCTCTCTGACAAACCTCTGGGAGCATCCTGGGAAAAGTGGAAAAAAATCATGGAGCTCTGGAGGCAGACCCAGGTCAGATGCATTAATGTGCTGTATGGCCTTGGGCGAGGGGCTGCCCTCTCTGAGCCTGTACTGCCTCAGCTGTAAAACAGGGCCCATCTCAACCACATGCTCATTTATCTGAAGATAAGAGGAGGTAAGAATTGTGCAGGGTCACACACAGTCAGCAGGACAGCTGGGACCCCCAGGCCACCCCAGCCGGCCCTGGCCTGGCTACCTCGGGGCTCACCTGATGGGGCTCAGCTCAACACTGTCAGCAGAGGCCTCGCTGGCTTCCCACTGCAGCGCCTCTTGGATGAGTTGCCTGAGCAGCTCCGTGCTCTCGCCGCCCTGGTTCCCCATGGCCTCCTGCAGCCTCCGCAGCCCTGCCAGGTACTTGCTCTCCACCTGGCAGTTCTTGGCTTGGAGGTAGGCACACTGTGGGGGGTGAGGAGGAGGTGGGGGCTGGTCAGGCCACTTGGTTGGGCTTGGCTTACCCTAAAGGCCTGAGGCCCGAAGTGCTTTGGGCAGCACACCCTTCTCCCAGCTCTCATCTCGCCACACCCTCCCCACCCCCCCACTCCTGGTCCCCGCCCCTTCCAGCCTTTCACATAGGGAAGGAGATGGGCTCTGTATCCAAGGGTTTACAAGGCTGGAAGGTCTCCAGGAAAGAGAGAACTAGATTCAGCAGGAGGGGAAGGGTGGGGAGAGACAGCAGAGGCTCTTGTATAGCCTGCAGTCCTATTCCAGTTCCGCTACTGCTGGCTGGGTGGCCTATGGCAAGTTAACTTCTCTGTGCCTTCGCTTCCTCTGAGCAGTGGGGATGACAGATCTGCCTCAGGGTTGCGGCGAGGCTTCACGGGCACCTGGCCTAGAGCAGGCTGCCTGCGCTGCGCTGTAGGTGCATCACTGAGCAGTGCCCGGGGACAGACAGGGACCTCTGGACACTGCTCTTGTGCCTTCTGCTGCCACCACATGGCTCTTTCTGCCCCCAACACACCACCTCTCTCCCACCTCATGGGACACACACTGCCTTTTCCTCTGTACCTTTGCGATCAGAAATGGTAATCAGAGCACAGTTTGAGAGTAGATAGGTAATGAGGAGGGAAGGGAGAGTAGACAGGTAATGAGGAGGGAGGAGAGGAGACAGGTAATAATGAGGAGGGAGGAGAGCAGACAGGCAATGAGGAGGGAGGAGAGGAGACAGGTAATGAGGAGGGAGGAGAGGAGACAGGTAATAATGAGGAGGGAGGAGAGGAGACAGGTAATGAGGAGGAAGGAGAGGAGACAGGTAATGAGGAGGGAGGAGAGGAGACAGGTAATAATGAGGAGGGAGGAGAGCAGACAGGCAATGAGGAGGGAGGAGAGGAGACAGGTAATGAGGAGGCTGGAAGGAGAGGAGACAGGTAATGAGGAGGGAGGAGAGGAGACAGGCAATGAGGAGGGAGGAGAGTAGACAGGTAATGAGGAGGGAGGGAGAGTAGACAGGTAATGAGGAGGGAGGGAGAGTAGACAGGTAATGAGGAGGGAGGAGAGTAGACAGGCAATGAGGAGGGAGGAGAGTAGACAGGTAATGAGGAGGGAGGGAGAGTAGACAGGTAATGAGGAGGGAGGGAGAGTAGACAGGTAATGAGGAGGGAGGAGAGTAGACAGGTAATGAGGAGGGAGGGAGAGTAGACAGGTAATGAGGAGGGAGGGAGAGTAGACAGGTAATGAGGAGGGAGGAGAGTAGACAGGCAATGAGGAGGGAGGAGAGTAGACAGGTAATGAGGAGGGAGGGAGAGTAGACAGGTAATGAGGAGGGAGGGAGAGTAGACAGGTAATGAGGAGGGAGGAGAGTAGACAGGCAATGAGGAGGGAGGAGAGGAGACAGGTAATGAGGAGGGAGGGAGAGTAGACAGGTAATGAGGAGGGAGGGAGAGTAGACAGGTAATGAGGAGGAAGGAGAGTAGACAGGTAATATGAGGGAGGGAGACATGTGAGATGGTGGAGACTGAAAGGGTGGCAGGAAGAGAGAGGGCCAGAAGAGGGGTCCCACCTCTCACCTTCATCAGGAGGTTCCTCTCCTTTTCAGCCACCTTTCTCCAGATCTTTGTCACCTGGTGGATCTCGGAATTGAGGAAGCGGTTCTGGGTCTGGTACGCTTCCATGTCATCCTGAAGAAGAGGGCAAAGCTGCTGAGGACTTCCACTGTCAACATCTCCCTGAATCTCACCCTCAAATGGGACGCCAACACTTCCTTTCTTTAGAAATTTCCAATAATGCAAAAGAAAAGGAAATCTGAAATAAAACAAAATAATGTATAGTCCCCTTCTCTAATCTTGAGCCTAGAATTAAGTGGCAAGGGAGCCCTAAATCTGGAGTTCAAGTCCTGGCTCCGACTTCCTGGCTAGGAGACCTTACTGACTGCCGTTTCCTCATCTGCAAAAGGAATACATGCCAACCACCTACTGAGCAGTGGGGAGACCATGAGGTCACATGTGTTATAACTCTAAGTACAGGGAGTGAAACACAACATTTTAACACAACAGTCCTTATCTGAACAGGACCGCAGGCTATACAAGAGCCTGTGCTGTCTCTGCCCACCCCTCCCCTCCTACTGGATCCAGCCCCAGCCCTGGGCCAGTTCTCTTTCCTAGAGCTTTTCCTGCCATGCAGTAAACCTTGGATTTGGAGCCCATCTCCTTTCCCTATATGAAGAGCTGGAGGTGGAGAGGGGAAGGGAGATGAGAGCTGGGAGAAGGGTAATGTTTGTTACTAAGATAAGCCTATTTTTGTCATATATTTGCAATTGTACTGAACAGTTTTGGGTGAAGAATTTTTTTACTTAGTGTCACTTTCTAAGTACTTTTCTATGTTGCTACAGAAACTTCCCAGTGATCATTTTTAATGTCAGGTGCCTATTCTATTGGGTGAATTTACCATAACTTAGTTACAATCCTTCTGCTGTTTTTGATTATGAGCACGGTGGTGATGCACCTCTCTAAGCCAGGCTGTCCAGTGGGGAGAGCCAGACGCGGCTGCTAGGTGTGCGAGGAGGAGCTGGCCAGGCACTGAGAGGTTCAAGCGGGAGCCTGCACCACAGGAAGGAGCAGCCACAGTCATGGCTCTCAGCCTTTATTCTGCTTGGACGGATGTTGCAGGAGCAATGGACAACACTATCTCACAGCACACCCAGCCATTCCAGGGCATTTGCGAGCTGACACTCAGCTCTTCTCTTCCTCCCAGGAACAGGCACTGGCTGTAGGTGAGGGACAGATGGGGATGACATTGGATAGGTCCTGACTTATCTGGAAACTGGGAACATCACGCCAAGCCTGTGCCGTTTCCTTACCAGGAAAGATCAACTGTGCACAGCTTCTAGGCCATCCTGACTCCTCACGGGGGCTCTTCATTCTGTCAAGAACTCTCCCAGCCCAGAAGCTCAACTTGTGTGCAGGGTCTGCCGCCTGCCGCCTAGTTACTCAGTGGGAGGGCCACCTGTCCCCAGGGCTCCTGAGCAGGAAATTCATGCCCTGGGCTGACTTCATCCAGTGTCCTGTGCTCACCACTCTGTTGGGACTCTTTGTGCTGCCCCAACCCTGGCCTTTTCTCCCACCCCCCTCACCCCCACTTTCACTCTGCTCTCTCCTCCTGGCCAGGATCCAGGCAGTTCCAACTCCCCAGCCCCGGACTTCCTCTTCCCAGCCAACTGTGTCCCTGTCCTAGATCAAAATCTAGGCTCTTTTTCTTAGAACTGCTGCTGGGGGACTGGCTGCTCTTTTGGGCAAGTGTCTGCCTGCTTCCCCTTATGACTCCACTTCCGTATCCTTGTGTGGCAGGAACAGTGAGATTGCTGCCTGAGGACCACGCCCTGCTCCCAGGATAGTCTTACACTTTAGTGTCTAGACAGTCATGAGACTCCCCCCCCCCACCCTCACCCCCCAGTCTAGAGACTCATGAACACAGGCTATGCAGGCTCCCCACGCCATCACCTCCCCACCCTCACACTGAGCACGTTATCTCATATAATCCTCCCAGCAGCTCAGAAAATAGCACAGTCCTAGCCGGTTTGGCTCAGTGGATAGAGTGTTAGCTTGTGAAGCAAAGGGTCCCTGATTCGATTCTGGTCAAGGGCATGTACCTTGGTTGCAGGCTCCTTCCCTGCCCGGGCCCTGATCAGAGCTTATGCAGGAGGCTACCAATCAATGTGTTTCTCTCACATTGATGTTCCTCTCTGTCTTTCCTTCTCTCTTCCACTCTCCCTAAAAATCAATGAAAAAAATATCCTCGGGTGAGGATTAACAAAAAAAAAGAAAAGAAAAATGAAAATAGCACAGATGAGGTCTTGGAGGCTCTGAAAGGGGGTGTTGATTGCCTGAGGTCACAGAGTTGGTACAAGGCAGGGTGTGACTGAGCCCAGGTCTGTCTTGATTCTAAAGCCAAGCCCTCACCATTGCACTCAGCTCCCTCCCTACTGCAATCCACCTGGAAATCAAAAATCTAGTCCTATCCTTGAAGGTTGTCTTTGGTATTCTTCTGGCTGAATGCAGGAAGGTTCATCTGACCTCTCCTCACCGATGGTATGATAACAATGTGTCAATGACGCAGGAGCTGCCCGAGTTTAGTGCTGCCTGGCGGTCAGGACATGGACTCCAGGGCCACACTGCCTGGATACATATCCTGCCTTCACTACTGAGCCTGGGACAAGTTACTCACCCTTTTGCTAATCTTCACCTGAGGATATTTTCCCATTGCTTTTTAGAGAGAGTGAAAGGGAGGGAGGGAGAAACACAGAGAGAGAAACATTGATGTGAGAGGCACAGCAATTGGTTGCCTCTTGCATATGCCCCAATTGGGGCCAGGGATAAAACCTGCAACCCAGGTATGCACCCTTGCCTGGCAATCAAACCTGAGACCCTTTGGTGCAAGGGTTGCATGGGGCAAGTGCAGTGCACGTGCCATCTCCTTCCTGGAGTTTTCACCTCTCTGAGGGCTACTAGTACCCACTGCACTCCCTCCGCCTGCTGAGAGACCTCTGGCTGTTGCTACTGTGGATTCTTCCCAAGTGCCTGGGAAAATGAACAAGACTCCAGGCAGGAGAGAAGAGCTGCCCGCCACCTAAGTCTCCACTATGTGCCAGGCCCATTCTCCCCACATCCATTATCGTACGTGATTTCATCCTGACCACAGCGCTGTGGGCTAAGAACTGAAGAACTAACATTCTCCCTTTACAGATGAGGAAGCACACACAGAGGTAAGTTCTCCTCAGTCATGCAGATGGTACGGAGGGAGGTAGGGCAAACCCAGGTGTGTTCAGTCCACTGTAGGAACTAAAAATTACTGCCCGGTGAATGGACACTGGAGTCTACTGCTGAAGTGTGCTCTGTACCACCACATGGTCCTGCCTCCCGTTCCCATCCTCTTTCCTCATCCCCGGCCAGGGACATGCTGCATCGGGTAGAGAGGGAGGGCAGGGTTGAGCATCCCTGGAACAGCTGTGGATGTGGGGTGGAGAGGCACCTTCCCATTCAGCTCATCGCCCCTCCCTTGAGTGTTCTTCTTGGCTCAGAACTACAGGAAGGAAACAGAGAGATCTCAGAGAAAAGCCACATGACAGTCACCAGCGAAGCAAAGGAGGAAAACACAAGTGGAGAAAGGGGACAGGGGACAGACCGGAGGAAGGAGTCTGTCGGCCTGCCTTCACAGAGACCAGGAACCTGGGAAATTTCTTTGGGGAATGCTGTGTGGACTAGTCCATGTGCTAGTGAATTGGGTGTGGGGAGACCTGGAGTCTAGCTGTGACTCTGCTGTTTGTGCTGTGTGACCCTAGACCAGTCCCTTCACCTCTCCAGGACTCGCTGTCTCTGCTAGAAAATGGGGGGCGGGGGTAAGGATGGGGGTTGGGTTAAAGGGGTGTAAGCAGACTAGATCTTTGAGTCTTTCTACTCTGACATTCAAGGTTGATGATTCTACTCTCAAACAGCTTCACCAATAAGGGGGCATTTTCTTTTCTTTTCTTTTCTTTCTTTTTTTAAAATATATTTTACTGATTTTTTACAGAGAGTAAGGGAGAGGGAGAGAGAGTTATAAACATAGACAAGAGAGAAAGAAACATCAATCAGCTGCCTCCTACACATCCCTTACTGGGGATGTGTCTGCAACCAAGGTACATGCCTTTGACTGGAATCAAACCTGGGACCCTTCAGTCCGCTGGTCGATGCTCTATCCACTGAGCCAAACCGGTTAGGGCAAGGGGGCATTTTCTTAAAAGTTGGCTGTTCTCAATCACAGGGCAAGCAGAAAAATGGCCAACAGCTATGAACTCTAGACATGCAACTCTTCCTAGCATAAGATGCTGGGCTTTTGAGGATCAGTTACAAATACAAGTTTGGTTGATGTGAATCATAACCAGAGGCTCCTCATGCCTGGGCTCGCTGATACATTCCTGCACATGCAGATTCAGAGGCACGCCCAGTCTCCTAAGTGAGTCCCGGCTGCCAGTCAGCTCCCTGCGGCAGGCAGGAAGCCTCTAGCGAGTCCGTGGCTCTCATCTCCAGGCTGCTGGGTGGGTGTTCAGCAGTGGCTTCCAGCGGGACGGGCCAGCTGGGCAGGAGCGCAAGCTGCGGAAGCCATTTCACTGCTGTGTGGAGCTACCTAACAACCTAGCTGCATCTGCACTTGAAAGGATTTTGTTTTCATTTTGAACTCAAAAACATCTCTGATTTTAAGGAAGAAGACTCAGACAGGTCATGTGGCTGTTCATGCTGAAGGAGGGGAAAGGCACCTGGGTTTCTGTTGTCTCCCTTTATCCTCCTAACAACGGCACCTCCACACCACCCTGCTCTCTCAAAAGCACCTGGATTGTCGAACTGGTTTGGCTCAGTGGATAGAGCTTCGGCCTGCGGACTCAAGGGTCCTGAATTTGATTCCGGTCAAGGGCATGTATCTTGGTTGCGGGCATATCCCCAGTAGGGGGTGTGCAAGAGGCAGCTGATCGATGATTCTCTCTCATCGATGTTTCTAACTCTATCTCTCTCCCTTCCTCTCTCTAAAAAAAAAAATCAATAAAAAATATTAAAAAAAAAAAAAAAGCACCTGGATTTCTTTCCCACTCCCCACAACAGTTCTCTGATGCAGCAGCACAGGAATTCCCCATTATACACATGCACACGTGTGTGGCTGCGAGTGGCAGGGTTTGGGGCAGGCCTGGCTGGTTATCTGGCTGTCTTCAGTGGGGCTGTGAGCACCCACTCCAAGCCTCAGGCCTCCAACTGTTTGGTAGCTTTTGTCACCACCCTCTAGGGAGGACGTGGCAGCCCATGGCAGGCATATCACCTAAAATAAAGTTCCTTCCATCACTGTGAGCAGCCCACAGCCAGCCACAGGTCACCTGTTCTGTGTGCAGGATTTCTGGGGGAGGGTCGTCCTGGAACCATGGGGGCTCCCCAGGGCATCAGCGTGACACCCAAGGAATCCGACCAGGCCCCAGGTGTATAGCTGGTCTAGTCCTCAGGAGTTCTGACCCTTCATGGGCTCTTCCTAATTTGCTAAGCTAGACAAAACTTTCCTTTTCAGCCTAGGACACCATGGAAAGATCAAATTGCATTGGGCCTTCTGGTTACGAAGGTCAGGAAGTATGTAGCAATATATCCACTATCTATTTCAAATATGGACATTCCAATAGTAAGGGTTATTGCTGGGCCTAGAGGGCATGGCCCTACCTTCAGATGCTCCATCTTTTCCTGTTGGCTCAAGAAGTCCCTGTCAGCAGCGTCTGGGGCCACAAGGAGCGGGTTAGGGGGGCGCACGAAGTCCTGGGTGACCTTCTCAGACAGCTTGCAGATGACCTGCTGTTTGGCCTGGTTCTTGTCCATGAGCAGCTGCACGTGCTGCTGCAGCTCCTGCACCTGCTGCTCACGCAGGCTCGCCGTCTGGGCCAGGCTCTCCCGCTCCTGCTCCAGGGCCTCCACCCGCCTGCCCAGCTCCGCGATCTGCCGCACTTTGTGCCGCACCAGCTCCAGCCGGTCCTTGTCTTCGGCTGCCGCCAGGTACGCGCTGGTTGCCCTCTTCTCCTGCTGTGCGGCCTCCAGGGCTTTGTGCAGGATCCTCACCAGCTCCTGGACAGGGAAACAAAATGTCTGTGAACTCGGGGAAGGACTACTAGGCGCCAGAGGTGAGGCATGTGTTCTCACCAGTTCTCCTAACGGCCCCAAGGGGTGGCCAGCAGCATCCTCTTGGTCATCTCATCTCAATCCCCATTTTCTCTTTTTCCATTCAAGAGTTTTAACTTGACCCATGGTTTCTCAGCTCAATACTACATTTCCCAGCTAAGCTTACAGCTAGGTGTGATCAAGTGACAATTCAACCTACACTGGATGTGGGCAGCTCTGGGTCATATATACCTTTGAAAACATTACACATATGCTCCCTGGTCCAGTTCTCCTTCCTTCTGGCTGGGAGAAGGCAGGAACTACAGCAGCCATGTGGGCTCCCAGCAGAAGTTGCATGTTGAAGATGGCAGAGTTGCCCTACCAGCTCAGAACTGCTCATTTACCTCTGGGCTCTTCCATGAGAATGTGAGAGAGAAATAAACTTCCAAATTGGTTTAGGCCATAGTACTTTGAGGCTTCTTTGTTATAGAGCTGAACCCATATCCTGAGTAATACCTCTCTATTTCGGAGGTGACCACACTGAGGCCCAGCAGAGTAGAGTGGAATTTAATCCCAAATTATCAGACTTCAAGGCCTGTGCTTGGTCAGTAATGACAGCAAGGGTGCCGTGGCACATGGGCATTGCTCTTCCCTCCTCTCACTCCTGTGGCAGGTGTCATTAATCTTAATACTCCTTCCTCTAAGCCGAGTTGAGGCCTCAGAATAGAGCACACAAGCAGATGCTATGAGCTGAGGCAGCAATAGAGAGGAAACACATCGACAATCCTCATGCTAAGCCATACGCAGAGAGCCTCATTCAATCCATTTGTGCCCAGCTCCTGAAGCCCACCAAGCAATGCCCACAGGCTGGAGCAAGGGAGTGCTAGAGAGCTACAGACTTTACTCCTTGGCGAAGCATGTGATTCACATTGAAACTCCAGCTCGGCCTGGCTCCCAGTGACTGAAAGCCTTCACCCTCCCCAGGACCTCTCTTGCCCCAAAGCCCGGTGTGGATTCATTCAGGGCCAGGATCAGAAGCCAGGCAGCCTAGCCACCAGCACCACATGAACCTCAAACCTCATGAACCTTATATGGAGGGGCTTTGGGCCAATGCTGTGCTCCATGTCAGCATCATCTGGAAAAACAGTTTCCTGGAGACACAACTGCATCGGATACTGTTGTAATTAGCTAGCTATTAATAATAGGAAAGGAGCAAAGGGAAGGCCAGACACTATAAGCATGGCCATCTGGGCAGTTCCACCAGGAAGCTGTGATTTCACACTCCCCAGGGAATCACCCGGCTCATTCCCTGAAAACCACTTGGGAGATGGATGCATAGGCAATAAGGTCAAGGTGACCCAGGGAAGGAGGCTGTCAGTCTAACTTAGAACACAGAGCACTGGCCAGAAGGGGTGGGGCTGCTGCAGACTCAAATTCTGAGATTAAAATCTCCAAAGGAACTCTCTCTCTTGTTGTTCTGGTTTTGCTCCTGTTTCCCTGCATTTGTCCGTGTTCCTAGAAGCTGCATGGTCCTGGGCCATGTGGGACCACATATGCAATGGACTGATGGACTGAAGCAGAAACACAAGTTAGGTTAGCCTGATGCTGGAGTGGACTGTACAAATGTGGAACAGGGCGACAACTTTAATTCTAGCTCTGCTAAGGACACAGCTATACTTCTTCCATGGTGGGTGGAGCGGAGACTTTGAAAACTCAGGGGTTTAATGAGTGCAAACAAAAGCCACTCATTCTCCTATGTGAGTCTAAATTTCATTTTCTCATGACATTGTAAGAAGCCCACTTCCACTAGCAATAGGTGGGACACGCTGAGCTCCAAGGTGGTAACTATCTATGTTAAAGCACTTAATTTTTTTTTTCTTGGCTAAGAACAATTCTATTTTGGAGAATTGCTCCAAATCATGACTTTATATAATAAGTTAATGACAAGACCAAATTAGTGTGCATCTTTTGACACCCGAATAGTAGAGACTGTCTCTTCTCTGCTTCTCTCTTCCATCCAATCTTCATCAAGCACCCACCGAGTGCAAAGCTCTGGGCCAACTGCTGAGGCTCAGAAGGGGACTGGCAGGCGGGAGCAAAGGTGAACTACTAACAGAGCAATTTCCTGCAACAGTGGGGAGCAAGGCGTTTGTGGGAGCCCCAAGCAGAGAGCAATGACTTCTGCTTGGGGTGGCAGTAGGAAGATCAGCACCTTCTACTGAAAGGCAGATCAGTTTAAAGAATGGAAAGAGACAGAGATGGCCAAGCAGCAGGAGGGAGGTGAGGGTCAGCAGGTGGGAGATGATGGTGAGGAAGGCTTTCTAGACCAGCGGTTGCCAACATTTTAGACCTCGTGGACCACCAGTGGTGGACCACTGGTTGGCGACAGCTGCTCCAAAGGTTTCCTTAAACCAGGGGTCACAAACCTTTCAGACATCACAGACCACTGGTTGGTGACTTGTTCCAGACAACTGAACCAACAGCTCAAGCAAAGCCCCAGTTGAATGCAAGAGCAGGTGAGGAGCTTGGGTGTTGCGGGAGGTGGGGGAGGGTTGCAAACCAAACCAGAATGTCAGGAATGAAGAAATCACTTCCCAGGGCCCTGCTGAGAGAGATTAACATTCCTGTGGCTCCAGGATAGGCTGAAAAGCCCAATCATTTTCTGGTTCAGCTGAGATTTGGAGGTCACCTTGGTAACTGAAATACCAACAGACCACAGTTCAGACTTGCCTGATGCTCAGAATCAAATGATCCTGGACCCCCTTCAATCCCCTCCTCCACTTCCACTCTTCCTCCCCCCGCCCCTCACACATAATTTGGAAAGAGTCAACTCTGAAACCATTTCATTACATCTAGCTGTCTCTCCTCCCCACATTGGCTCTCAGAATCCAAGACCAAGAGACCAGGCCAGGAGGCTCTCCTCCTACCCCTGCCCCACATAAGATAGGGAGTAAGGAAGGGGTGGGGGATGAAGCCAAATAGAGACTGAAACAAGAAGGGAGAGGACTAAAGGACCTGGTAGATCTCCATGAGTGGAAAAGCACAGCCAACTCCTAATCCAGGGTCCCTCACTTCTCCATGATGAGTAAGATCATGGATTTTCCATTGAAATGCTTCTTTCAAGTTCTTTAAAAATGGAAATTACCCATGTTTGTGGCAATATTATTCACACTATCCAAGAGGTGTAAACAACCCACCCAGTATCTTTTGATGGTGAACACACACACACACACACACACACACACACACACACACACACACACGAATATTATTCAGTCTTTAAAAGTAAAGGAAATCCTGCCACATAATATACATAGATGAATCTTGAGGACATTATGGCAAATGAAATGCGCCAGTAACAAAAATTCACATACACACCATTATAGAAATATTAAAAGCAAAATTGGAAGCTTGTGATGCTTCCCTTTTGAAGCTGCTTTTGTCCATGTCATGTGGAGTGCACGCTAAAATCTGCATTCTGTGTAGTGGGAGTGTACTCTGAATTATGGCTGGGGTTCTAGGGGAATAATGGGTTGCTCTTTGCTCCCACAGTTTCCTAAACGAAGTACATGTCTTCACCAAGTCATCCTGCATGGGCTAGGCTGGCCTTACAGGGCCCCAGGCAGGACTCGGGAGGAGTCCCTCATTCCCAGCAGCCAGCAGCACCACAAACAACAGCCTTTCACCTGCCAGAGCAGACGGCCTTCAGGCTGGGTACAATCCTGCCTTCTCCAAGGGCACCAAGCCCGAGTCTGCTGGCCGAGCATCTGGTACTTACTATCTTCTGGAGTCCAAATATTTGTGGGGACATCACTGCAGGGGCCTGGGATAGATAATGACTTAATGGGTATTGGAGTCACTCTGTGGTTTAGTATGACACAAGGAGGCACAGTGAGTTTGTGCCATTTTTTGTCTGATACTGGGCTGTACCAGAGACCATGGAAGAGGAAGCCTGTGATGAGAGCCCTGAACCTGGAGAAAAAGACCAGGCCCTTCATAGCATCCAACAGAGTTTGAGATACAAATTCATAAAGGATCACTAAAGTTACTGGCAATGGCCACCTGTCTGTCAGCTAGAACACGACCCCAGCTCCCATGTCCCCTGTGGCCTCAGGTAGAAAGATAGTGCCTTCCCACTGAAGGGCCATGGAGGGGCAGCTGGTAGATGTGGACCCCGCGGTCCAGGGAGCTGTTTTCCCAGCTGAGGCACTGGACTGGGAGAGTAAGATGGAGACTGCTCTCCAACCTGCATTTCTGAATCCCTAGACCTCAGCATCCCAAGGCTGTGCCAGCCTCTGCCCCCTCTGAGCCAAAACTGGTCTCCTTTTCTTCTTTCCCTCTTTGGTTTTGATGTCTGGGTTAGAGGTGAAACCTCAGAGTTGGCAGGGCTGGGGATCCCTCTTCCTGCGAATGAAGGGCGGCCCTCTGTCCTCACTGCTATGCCCCACAAGCACACTTCCTGGAAGCCCTCACAGCTCAGGTCTGATTCCCGTAACTCCTCAGGAGCATTTTCTCAGAGCCCCTCAGGCGTGTGTATCATTCCTTCAAAGGCCGGAGGAATCAACAAAAAAGGCAGGGAATGTTAGCAGTAGTCAAAAAAATCAAAGCCTGAATCTGCTGGCAACTGCAGGCCAGGCTTCAGTCAGGCTTTATGGATCTGACAGGCCTCTCCAAGAAACATGGCTATTACTCCATTTATAGAGGAGGAAACTGAGGCTGTAGAGGATAAGAGACTTGCTCAGGGCTTGAATTGGAGTCTGCACCATCTTATTTAAAGGCTTGTGCTCTGAATTACCCACTAGATCAAAGTGCATTTGTGAGACGGGTCAGAAAGCACCCAAATCCATTTATATTGTGGATCAAAAATCTAACCCACAAGATTTGCTCTCCTCCCACCACCTGAGAACAGGAATGAGGTTTGCTGGGAAGTGAAACAATAACAAAGTCTAATTCTTTAATGCTTGAGCAACTTCCTCCTGACATTTTCACTCTGACTGCAGAGGAATTGTCCACAGACTGGGAGGCCCTTACTAATCTCCAAGACCCCGCCTTCATTTATTGAAGAATGGTCCTCCATGGCTGCAGAGATGTTAGGGGCAAACCTAAATGAAACCTTGGTGTCCGGGGGCCTCTCAGCTTCATCTGACAATTCACAATGCCTTAGAATGACTGGCCAAAGTCAAGGGAGACTACCCAGATTTCCTAGAAAGAAGGGTAAGATATGGTGAAAGGAGAAGTGGTCTATACATTCCAGATTTCTTTTCACACCCAGGCTTGGGTTTGGGATTGGGACATAAGGGATCAGGTACTGCTCTAGCTAGAGAGGCTGCTGCCAGTGCTGCAGCCGCCCTTGCCCTCCTGCCCCGGGACCCTCATGGCTTCATGAAGTAGCCCTGGGTGGGAACACAATCTACCCTCTGAGTTGTAGGTTTTTTAATGATTTTCATTTCTGTGTATACATGTGATTTGTTTTCTACAATGAATATGCAGCTTTCTTTTTTTTAAACTGCTGTCATTAACTTCTCTCTTATTAAGCCTAGATCTTCCTCCCTGCTATTGACCCCTATGGGGCCTGACTGAGCTCCAGGGCCAAAGGAACTGCCTGCTCCCTCTGTCCTGATAGTCCTTCAGAGATCCTGCCCAGTGACCTGCTGCCTGGTGAAGATCCTGGGTTCCTCTGTTGGCACCTCCCAGGTCCCTGCATCCAGGTCACCCTCCTCCACACTGTCCCTTTTCAGGTGTGGGGGCAGAACATGCACAGTCCTTCAGAAGGGGCCTGAGAGGCAATTACTAAAGTAGGTCTCCAGAGACCCTGCCCTTAGCGGCTTTCTGAGGGACAGTGTGTCCCCGAGTAATCAATAGCACAGCATTTTCAACCACCCACAGTTTGGCCTTCACCCAGAGAGGTCTCCTGGAGCCTGGAGACTCACCTTCTGAGACTCTAACTCCTTGGTAAGCATCAGAACCTGTTGCTCCAAGGCCAAGGCTTTCTCCTGGACAGTTCGGTTCCGTGTGAGTCCCTCAGCAAAGAGTGGGAAGTTGTTGTTCTGGCGCTTGGCTTTCTGAATGAGATTGGCGGTCAGAGAGGGTTTGGGTGCAGGCTTCAGAGTCTCCCCTGGATCTTTTCCTGATCAAGAGGAGAAACACAGAGGTTATGACCAGGGGCATTGGCAGTTCTCAAATGAGCTTTCTGCAGAAGCACCTGGAAGGTTTGATAAAACGCAGACTGTAGGACCCTACACCCTGAGCTCCTCATTTGACAGGCCTGGGTGGGGCTTGAGCATCTGCGTTTCTAATTCCTACGTGAAGCTGATGCAGTTTATACAGGGCTGGACTACGAAACATTATGTATACTGTGCCGGCCAGGTCACCAGCTCATCCTCTCAGATCCCTACCTGCACGGGCTTTGTTTGCCAGGTGGTCATGCCCTCAGTCACAAACCCTGAAGGAATGTCTTGTTTCTTATGTCAGGATTCCACCTCTACCTTCTGAGCAACTTTTGAAGTACAGAGACCTGTCTCTTGATAGGAACATGAAATATCTGTACTCTGCATTCTTTCCCCAGAGAGCGCCCAAAATCTTCTTTTATTCTTACTATAAGCTAAGTTAGGAGACATATTTCCCCAGAGGCTGCAAAGTCCTTTTATTTCTTCTAGAGCCAGGGTTAGCAACTGATGGCCCACAGGCCAAATCTAGCCCACAGCCTACTTTTGTAAATAAAGTTTTATTGGGACACAACCATACCCCTTCACTTGGGCACTGTCTGTGCCCAAGGGCAGAACTAAATACTTGGAACAGAGACCACATGACCCACAAAGCTTCAGATATTCACTATCTGGCTCTTTACTGGAAACCATTGCCGACCAGTGCCAAATTTTATTTTTAAATCCAATCACTCACTCAAGCTGCCTTGTCCTGTCCTGTCCCCGGCCTTTGCTTTAGGACTCTGCCATCAGTCTGCAACCAGGGACATCTAATGGCCTGATTATATGGTTAAGGGACCTTGAGGGTCTTGTTTACATGGCACAGACACATCATGCCAGTTATGAGGCCCTAGCAGAATTTCTCCTCAGCCCTCAGTGTCAGAAAAGGCTTTGCTTCTTCCAAGAAAGTATGTGTTTATTCTTGTGGACCCTGGGAATAATCTAACCACTTGTATTCTCTCTTTGCGTGGCTGCTGAGATGCTCAGAGCCACATTTGCTGCCCACCCTTGGCTACTCTGAAGGATCTTATCTTATTTTTCTAACCCTAATAAGTCATTTTCTTTCCCCAGAAATGCATTTTAGTAAGCTATCCCCAATTCTTTTGAGACTAAGGTGTGAAAAATAAGGATGTGGTGTGGGATCCCAGAGGAGGGGACAGGTAGGGCTTGGAGGACAACTGAATGACTTAGCATTTTTCTTTTGGGGCCCAGGCTGAGGGACAGTCAAACGGGTTTGAACAGATAAAGAACTAGTAGGTAACGGGAACCAGAAACGAATTGAACTTGTTGGGAATAAGAACAGATCGGTCTTGTTTCCAGGCTTCAGAGAAATCTGGGTGACCTGAGGATAGAGCAGCCACGGGGCTCCGAGGAACGCCAGGCCGTTCCCTTTCTGGCCCTGGGCTCTGGGAGAGCCAGACTGTGCGGCTCAGCCCTGCAGCCCTCTGACCTCTGAAACTCTGCTGCCCACCAGCTCTGCAGGCAGGAAGGTAGGGATCACTGAGCTCATTTTACAGCAGGAGAAAACGAGGCCTGAGACAGCGTTTCTCAATGAGGGCCCCAGGATTTCATGGGAATGCCTCATGGCTGACTGGGAAGAGCAGAGGATGGAGGGCTGAGGGAAACCCAGACTCCCATCCCTGACCCAACTCAGCTTTTATCTGCTTTGTATATTAGATTTTGTTTATGGCATTAAGATTTCATGACAATAAAGATGTAGTTTTAAAAATCACTAATTTAACCAAAACCAGTTTGGCTCAGTGGATAGAGCATCAGCCTGAGGACTGAAAGGTCCCAGGTTCGGCCGAAACCGGTTTGGCTCAGTGGATAGAGCGTTGGCCTGCGGACTCAAGGGTCCCGGGTTCGATTCCGGTCAAGGGCATGTACCTTGGTTGTGGGCACATCCCCAGTAGAGGGTGTGCAGGAGGCAGCTGATGGATGTTTCTCTCTCATCGATGTTTCTAACTCTCTATCCCTCTTACTTCCTCTCTGTAAAAAATCAATAAAATATATTAAAAAAATAAAAATAAAATAAAATAAAATAAAATAAAAATCACTGATTTAGAAAAGGAGGCTTCAGGCCACAGCACGGGGCCGGAGTGCTGGGCCTGAATCCTGGTCTGTCACTCTCTGTGTGGCGTGAGCCAGTCGCTCCATGTTCCTGTCCTCGGTTCCCTCGCTTTCTAAATGAGAACAACAGAGGCTGCTGCTCAGGTTGCTGTAAGTATAAACAGCTTCTGCAAGTAAAGTGATTAGTGCACATGGTTGAAATCTGAAAGGTTCTAAGTGCAAGAAGCCAGACGGCAGGGACCACATGTTGTATGATTCCGTTTGTATAAACTATCCAGAATAGGCAGGCCTGCAGAGATAGGAAGTAGATTGGTGGCTGCCTAGAGTTGGAGGGAGGTGGAGATTGGGACTGATGGCTGCGTGATGTAGGGTTTCCTTTGGGGGGTGGGAGGTGGGGGTATTACAAGTGTTCTGAAATTGACTATGGTGATGGCTGCATAACTCTGTGAATACACTGAAAGCCACTGAACTGTATAGTATGTGAATCATATCCTAATACAAATATTACCCCTCCACCCAAAGTGCTTAGTGGCACAAATAACTACTATATGTAAATGCTAGATTCATTGTTACCCTGTTTCCCCAAAAATAAGACAGTGTCTTATATTAATTTTTTCTCCCAAAGTTGCACTAGGACTTGTTTTCAGGGGATGTCTTATCTTTCCATATGCTAGGTCTTATTTTCGGAGGATGTCTTATTTTCGGAGGATGTCTTATTTTCGGGGAAACACAGTATTACTGAATCACTATGGTTCTGATCTTGTGCACTGTTCCTATGACCTGCGGGGTCTCCCCAGACACTGCTCTCATGGGGCACTTTTATTAGAGTTACTTCTACATTCCGCCATGAGAAGAACACACAGTGCTGCCTCAGCCAGTTTCCTCCCAACTGTTTCTAAGTTAAAGTCTGTTCTAAGGGCACCAATGCCACTTTCAAAAAAGCCAACCTCTCCCCCCGCCCTCTCCCCATGGTGTGGGTCACTCACATTTTGTGAAAGAAACGAACAAGTGTTATGTCATAGCTGGATGGGACCTAAAGGCCATCTGCTCTGCTACTTCAGGCAGAGTTGACGAATTTTAATCACCATAGGAAGGCATTTTTTATATCCTTTTTTATAAATTAAAAAAAAAGTATGAAAGTGAGTGAGATTTTCCTTTATTACTTCAAGAATCATGGCTGAGGTTTAGTTTGGGAAGGTAAAGAGTTCTGGAGATGCATGATGGTGGTGTTTGCAGAAGAATGTACTTAATGCCACTGAACTGCACCCCTGAAACAGGTTAAGTTTTATGTTATGTATATTTCACAACAACAATAATAATCAACCATTGATACTAGACCCATAAACCCAGAAGGAGTGCCCCCGGAGAGTACCATGGTTGACAGAAAAGAACAAATGCTGGTTTCTGGGGAGAAGGGCACTCAGTTTCTGAAAGCAGCTCAGTCCTGGGCAGAGGCTCACCTGGGGCACTGGGGTCAGGGGATGAGGGCCGCTCCTCCCTCTGGGGCTCGGTGCTCGGCAGAGGATCTTCCCCTGGAGGTCCATGGCCTATTCCTTGGGCCTGCCTGTTGCCCCGGATGCTGTACATCGTGTTTCTGAAGGAAAACAGAGGAGCACGAGGCTGACAGCCCTGCCACTCTGTCCCTTTCCTCCCCACTGGCTACCACCACTAGAGCTCAGGCTGTATCCTACGCCCAGGCATGGCCTGATCAGTCTGTGAGACGCCAGGCACCCTGAATGATGCACCCTATCGAGCCACTCCTGATCCCTCTCACCCCTCTTCTTTCCATCATTTCATTGCTTTTCACCTTCCACAATGTTGCTTATAAACAATATAAGCTTGATTCCCTTGCCCCAATCCCGCAGCTGGAATATAAGCATTGAAGGTAGGGACGTTTGCCTGTTTTGTTCACCAAAGTACTTTGAATGCATAAAACCATGCCTGAAATATAGAGGGTCTTCGCTATATATATGTTGAATAAATGTTGAATGGATTTGCCACACTAACTTTCCTAAAACCTTCAACTGGTCTTGTAACTACCTGGCTCAGATATAATCAGATTGTTGTACTTCCTACTTCCACTGAGAAGAGTTCCAAACATCTCTTGGCATCCTTCTCTAGATTTCTTTCCCTGCTCTGATCTGTTCTCTCTGAAGCCTTCACTGGTCACCACACGGCATCCAAGGAGCTCACTGCACTTCATGAATGGGCCACCTTGTGACCAAGTACTTGCCTAGGCTGAATAATGAGATGTCTTTTCTTCATGAACTAGCACTAACATACCTGCATGCCTGCTGGCACCTGGCACTGGGGTAGCCTGTGCCCAGAGTGTAATCTCTATACATGTTTGGTTTGTAGGTAGCACCAAAGGCTGACTTAGGACCAGAGACCACAGAGAAATTCATAGTGAGTCAGATAAAAAGACAGTTCAATTGAGTTTTTCTTTTCCCTTTGCAAGAAATAAAAGTAGACATATTCCAACTTAATTAACAAGGAAGAGAAAATGATTAAAGGAGTTCTGTAGGTCAGTGTTTTTCAAACTGCAAGTTATAAACCATTGGTAATTATGAAATCAGTTTAGATCAGCATTTAAAAAAACAAAATGGAACATATGAGGATGTATTCCACTTAGAGAGGGTTAATATTTTGTGAAGAGTGTGTGTGTGTGTGTGTGTGTGTGTGTATGTGTGTGTGTGTGTGTGTGTACTGAGCTATTTCTCCCTGTGGTCATGATCAATAGGTAGAAAACACTGCACTGGCAAGTCACTTATTTAAGGGCAGCAATAGTGTGATTAAAAAAAAAAAAAAAAGAGGATGCGAAAGTCTGTAGATTTGTGCTGGAATCCTGGCTCTGCTATATCATCACCAAGTGGGGGACAAATTACTCTGAAAAACCCTTATTCCAAAACTCCTAGATGCTAGGTAAATATAAAACATATTTCACAAATATTTAGCTGAATTCCCAGGAAAGGAAGAGAAGTTCTCAGGCACTAAATATGAAAAAGGAGGTGAAACTCAAATGGGAAATAAAGAGAAAGGTCACCATGTAGATTAGATTACTGTTCAGCAAATACAGGCATATCTCAGAGAAAACTTTGTTTTGTTTACACTGTACTATGATACAGTGAACACCTCAGTAGCTTCTGGGGCTAATACACCTCTATCACTACAATTACTTTAGCAAACTGGTTCCCTTCACTTCTGCCACATCACGCAGAGTTAGTGATTGAGTTTGCACTCAGAGATACTTTAATTTAAAAATATCTTATTGCTAAAAAATGCTGAGCCTTCTGAAAAATTGGCGCTGACAGACTTGCTCAATGCAGGTTACCACAAAACTTATAAAAAATGCAATATCTGTGAAGTGTACCAAAACCAAGTATGTCAGTATTCGCTCTTTCGCCTCCACCTCCATGAGAACAGAATGCTTTCCCCTTTCCCTCTTAACTTGGAGCGTGGCCATGTGACTTGCTTGACCAAAGCGATGATAGCAAATGTGGTATGAACATAGGCTTCAACTGTGCTCGCATGCGGGGCTTGCCCTCTTGAGGAACATGCCTCAGGGAGCTGTGGCCCATGGAAGATGAGAAATATGTGGTAGAACTAGATCTTTCCAATAGCTCAGAGTCACGACCAGGTGAACCTAGCCTATGGCAACTGAACTAATATGGGTGCAAAAGAAATGCTTATTAATATGACATTGAATTTAGAAGTGTTTGTTTGCAGCATTATTGTCGTAAGAGTTGATTAAGATATAAATCTGTTTAGAGAGCAACTGTTGGTTGTTTTTTTTGGTTTTTTTTTTGAGATATGTTTGACATATAACATCATATCTGTTTCAGGTATAAAACACTTATTCAATATATGTACATACTGTGAAATGATCACCACAATAAGCATAGTTAATATCCATCACCCACACATAGTTACAGATTTTTTCTTCTGGTCAGGGATTAACTGTTGATACCAAAAACCTAGAGCCTTGGTTGCAAGGGAGGAAAGAAAAGAAGGTTTGGACCCATACAAATTGTAGGGCTGAAATTGAAATTTTACATAAGCCGGGACTCCTGAAAATCCATATGTTCTCTGAAGAGGTGGGTTATAAAAAACACAAAGAAATTATAGGTGAAGTTCTGGGTATTCAAAAAAATTTGTAATATCATTATTTGGTTTGGGTGTCACGGTATAATAATACTGACCTTATGGAATGAATTGGGAAGTGTTCCCTCCTCTTCTTTAATGGGGGGAGAGTTTATGAAGAATTGGTATTAATCTTTCTGTTTAGTAGAATTCGTCAGTGAAGTTATCTGGTCCTAGATGTCGTTATTGTTTATTTTTTGTGGATAGTTTTTTTTTTATTACTAATTCAATCTCCTTATAGGTTATAGGTCCAATCAGATTTTCTATTTCTTCTGATTCAGTTTTAATAATTTGTGTCTTTCTAGGAATTTGTGTATTTCATTAAAGTTATTTAATTTGTTGGCATATAATTGTTCATAGTATTCCCTTATAATTTTATTATTTTTGTAAGGTTGGTAGTATTGTCCCCATTTGTTTTTGATATTATTATAGTAATTGAGTCTTATCTGTTTAGCTAAAAGTTTGTTGATTTTTTTTTCAAAGAATAATTATTTAATCTGAAACTTATCTTTAAAAGAAAATCCAGTTTCTTGGTATAATTGGGTCCAAAATAAAAATGAGATTTTACTTTAATGGAGAAATTAAGAAATTAAACTAAGAATAGAGAAGAAATTAGAAGTCAGCACTCTATCAAACTTTAAAATTTGGTCTCTGATTTCTTTTATTCTATTTTAAGAAGCCCCTGACTGCTTGGCTAGTCACTTCCCCTTCCCAGTTCATATTTTCCCCATGTCAAAATAAAGGGTGGTAGGCCATATAGAAAGAATGATGAGGCAATGAGGGACACTATTTACTATTAGGTCTAGTAATAATTAATGTCGTTTTCTAATACTTTTTAAAATCGAATTTATTTAAACAATACAACAAAATTTAATCAACAATATAGTTGCCGTTGTTTTTTACTACTTGTGCCCAACGCTCAGGAAGCATTTTAATCCCTCTGTTGTAAAATTCTTGTGATTTTGATGCAAAAAATTCGGTCAATGCATTTTTGAGGCATTCTTCATTATTAAATTTTTTTCCAAGAAGAAAGTTTTGCAAAGAACAAAACAAATGGTAATCGGAAGGGGCAATATCAGGAGAATATGCAGGTTGAGGGAGAACTTCCCATTCCAACTGGCGCAGTTTTTCAGCAGTGATTCTTGCAGTATGCGGTCGTGCGTTATCGTGGTGAAGAATTACGCCCTTCCGATTAATCAGCGCGGGTTCTTTTTCTCTTAAAGCTTGGGCTAACCTTTCCAATTGGGCACTATACACTGCACTTGTAATGGTTTGGTTAGATGGTAAAAGTTCATAATGAAGAATTCCTTTAAAATTCCACCAAACACACAACATCACTTTTTTCGCATGCAAGTCAGGTTTTGGCGTGGGCTGCGGAGCCTCATTTTTGTCCAACCATTGAGGCCACCTTTGCAAATTAACATACAGCACCCATTTTTCATCTCCGGTAACAATTTGCTCTGAAAACAGCAAACGGTTTTGACGAGAGAGGAGCGAACTGCAAATTGTGACTCTTTGATTACGGTTGTTGTCGGTCAACTCATGAGGAACCCATTTTCCAAACTTTTGGACTTTGCCAAGTGCACGCAATTGATTGGAAATTGTTTTTTGTGAACAATTTAAAGTTGTCGCAAGCTCTTGTTGGGTAATTTGAGGATTTTGCACCAAAAGAGCTTGAAGAGCTTCTTGATCAAAATTGGACACACGGCCTCGACCACTCTTGTCATCTAACGAAAAATTTCCCTCGCGAAATTTCTCAAACTAACGCTGGCATTTTCTGGCGCTAACTGCATCTTGACCAAGAGCACTACAGATGTTTTTTGCAGCCTCACTTGCTTTTCTTCCTAATTGGAACTCGTAAAGCACGCAGTGCTGAATATGCTCTTCATCCGCCATCTTCTTAGCCCTAGTTTTGCAACAAAAACCAAACCAAACACAAACTTTTTCAAGCAAGACTTGTTAATTGCACTTCACACGTTCTGTAGATACCACGTGTTTGAAGGTTATGTCAATACAAGTCAACGCCAAGCAAGATTTTAAACGAATGTTTTAAAACGACATTAATTATTACTAGACCCGATAAGTAGCATTTTGTGCTGGGTTCTGTGCTGAGCTCCCTTACTATGTATCTTACAAACCACAAACCACAAGCCACATGACTTGGAGAAGACCAGAGACACATCCCTACAGCCAGAGGAAGTGGCTGGGTGGGGTGACCACCATTGCTGCCCATACTCCCTCTTACCCAGGGATTGCAGCCTCCCCAACATGTCAGGAGCTCACAGTCATCCCTGGGATAGAAGACGCATAGAAACACCAACCTCAGAGCAGTAAAGAGCCTTCTGATCTCTACAGACACAGACCAGGTGGCCACTACCCAACCAAACTATTATGCTTGGAACAGGCAACTCCCTTTCATAAATTTATTGATTTGGGTTGGAGAGGTTCATAGATAATTTTCTGTGTAGGTTTAGCTCTAGGTCTGAAATGCTTGGTCAGCATAAAGGTAGTGGTCATAAAAGCTTGTTCTGGAAAGAAAGCCATTTATCCTTTCTCAGTCTGGGTTTTCTCACCTGCAGTGGGATGATGAATGTATTCACCACAAGGAGGCCCTTTACGGACTAGGCTCTAAGCTAAACACTAGAAATACACCTCATTTAATCCTCACACACATACATTCAATGCATATAATCCTCATGACAGCCCAATGGAGTGAATATTGTTATCACCTCCATTGCACGAGAGAACTGAGGTTCAGAAAGGGTAAGTAACCAAAGCCACAGAGAATAATGAATGGTGGGGCTGAACATTAGACCTGGACATCTGACTCCAAAGCCTGAGAACCTAACTGTTTTAATACCACTTCACCGGGTTGCGTAAAAAACTCAATGAGAGCATGAAGCATCCAGTATGGGTGCTTGGAAGCTCCCTTACTTCCTTCCCCAGACTATGACCTAGGCTCATGGCAGACCTAACTATAAGCTCTAAGACCAGCAGGGGCCAGGAGGTACAGGAGACAAGGGCAACCATTAATTCACTGGGCTCTCCCCAGGACACATGCAATGTTCCCTTGCATTTTCTGTGGGTTATTGCAAGTGTCAGGAGGGAGGTAACTGACTAATCCCTGAAACTTCCTTCCTGGTCTCTGCATGCTCTCTGTTCCACTTGTATTGTTTGTGGCTCTCTCAGGCAGGAACCTGGCTTAATGTTGGTGAGACCACCCTGGATAGAGTGTGTACCAGCTGGTTGGCTAAAGTTCTCAGGCCCCTCAAACACCTCCCCTCCCCTCCCCCCCAATTAGGCTCATAATACTACCAGTTCTCTCCAGCTCCTCCTTAGAGAAGATCCACACTGCAGGGGCTGGAGGGGGGCGGGGGCTCAACCATGCCCCATACTCCCCAAGTCTCTCTAACTCAGATTGCTCTCCTGAGTTCCAGGTCCTCCACCCAGTGCCTGCTGGGTAGTCTACCTCCAGACCCTAAAGAACACTCATCGTCTTTCCCCTAAAACCTGCTTTTATCCTGGGAACAGAATCACTACCCTTCTAGTTACCCACGCAAGCTAAAACGCTGAGGCTGACTAAGGGAAAAGCTAAGCCTGAGTCACACAGAGCCAGGGTCTCTGATCTGAGTCCAGTGAATTCAGAGGTCCAGTTTGTATGAGGTCCTCACAAAAAAATAAGCACCCAAACAAATCAGGACTGGGTATAGTCTGAATTCCCAAAGCTTCCATTTCTTAGTAAGAGCAACAATAGCAGCAGCAGGGTGGGCAAAAGTAGGTTTACAGTGGTGAGTACATGAAAGTTTGTTCTTGTATTATTATTTATAAATCATTATGTTATTTTTCCATGTGAACAACTGTAAGCCTACTTTGCCCCACCCTGTATTTATTAAGTACCTACCCATTGCCAAGCACAGTTCGAAAGCAGTTTGCATGAATTGACCGATTAACCACTGCACTAACCATATAAGGCAAACACTGCTGAATTTTATATTTACTAACAATTTAAGTGAAGCACAGAGAAATCAAACAACTTGCCAAGGATACCAGAGACCATGACTGGTGGAGCCAGAACACATATCCAGGCAATTTGACTCCAAAGCCCAGGCCATATTGCTATCTTTTTATAACCTATTTAAAACAAAGCCTGCGGATGAGAAATTGTATATGTAATACATTATTAAATGAAAAAGTAGCTGATATATGATGGACATCTAATAAATTACACATTAAAAGTGAATAATTTGATGCGTTTGACATATATAGACATTTATGAAGCTATCACCACATTACATTCAGCATGATATCAATTATGCATGTATGTGTACAGAAGGAAAGAGATACACTAAATGCTAAGAATACTTGTCTGGGTGATAGGAATATGGATAATGTTAAATTTATATCTTTTGAGATGTTTCTAATTTCTAAAAAGAATATGCACTACTTTTAAAATCATAACAATGAATGTAATATTTTAAAGTAATAGCATGAATTGAAAATAGAGCCGCTAAACCAGTGGTTCCCAACCTTTTTTTGGCCATGTCCCATCTAAGCATCTCCAAGTGAACTCCTAGTCATGGGGAGGAAGCCTAAAAGGACATTAACTTGGTCTAAACAAACTTCCAAAGAACACGGCATTCATGAAAGAGAAAAATTAAAGAATGGCAGGACAGTTGAAGTTCTGAGGAAGAAATCACTAAGAAATTGTTAAAAAATAATAATATGAAGTGATATGGAAAAAATAGCAAATAAAGTTTCAAAACATATAATAGAGAACTGAAATGCATAAATATGTCACAATATATGTTTATATACTGCATATGAGGCCCCTAGAAACATAAGAAATGCAAAAAATTCACTGTTAACAACTCATTCTCTAATTGCCCCCCTTAAAAATCAAATTGCCCCACATTGGGAACTAGTGCTCTAAAACCCTCCCCATCAGCCCTCCTCCCTACTGGGAATCACCTCAGTTCACAGTAAGCTCTGAAGAAGGGGCTGCTTGCTGTTTGGCCAGCTCCTCAGCCCCACTAGCACTTACTGTATTTCGGTTCCCAGGTGCTTGAGGGAAATATTCTGAAGGGCTGAGGGCATGACAGGGGCTGGCTGCAAGGCAGCTGCCATACCCACGAGTCCAGGGGGCGTTTTCACAGGGCACAGGAACTCCTCCAGCTCAGCCTCCTCTTGCTCTGGGGAACAAAGGAAAGAGAAATCATCCATTGGGTCATTGCACTTGGAAAGACCAGACAGGTGGGTGCTATGGGCTCAGCTCCAACTGGGAACAGGTGGGAGTCAGCCTGAGCAAGACTTTCCTGTGGGTAAACAGCAGCCAAAGAGGCAGGTGGCGTGTTACTCAACCATTTAAAATGATGCTAAGGAAGAATATTTAAGAACATGGGGAATATGCATGGCACATACTCTAAGGTTGAAAAGCCAGATAAAAATCGGGGTTATAGTATGATCTCCATTATATAGGAGAGTCTCAAAGAAATACTTGGCAATCTTAACAGTGGTCAGAACTGCATGCTGGGATTAAAAGTGAGCAGGCTACTCATTATAGTTTAATGTTTTCCCCAAATTTTCTATAGTAAATATGGGTTACATCTATAAACAGGAAAGAATATATATTTATCAAAAGTAGGTACTAACAGATTTTACAACACGGGGACATTTTAGTGTCACAATACTGAGTATCAAAAAGCAAAGTAGAGCGTTTTGCATTGTTATCTGATCAGAAAATCATTTACATTAATAATAATAATAATAATAATAATAAAAAGACGTAGGTGGGAGATAACAATGCTAACACTGGCTCTCTCTGGGTAGGCTTATGGCTACTTTTCTATGTTTTCCAAATGTTCTGCTTAAACAGGAATTCTTATACAGCGAGTACTTTAAAGGCTTAAATATTAAGGAAGGTTTCAAGACTATTGAAACATTATTTGCGATATAAGAGAGAGGCGGTGAAAGACTCAGAAGTTCGCTTTGAGTGCTACCAGAAGTCGATGAGAACCAAAGCCACTTGGAGATGGTATGATCTTGACCAGGCAGCCCTGAGACGCGCAGGGCAGCAGACACCTTTTACTTGGGGCCCTTACTGAGAGGGCGAAGGGGTAGAGGACATTTATTTTTGCCTTGCATCTGCAAGAACATTAAATGCAATGGTGGGGGCCAGGGAGAGTTGCTCAATCTATTTGAGAAAAAAACTTTGCAGTCTAACTTGGCAAATAACACATTATCAATCCCCAAAAGGCTCTTTCGGATGTGGCAGCCTGGCTGGTACTTGGCCACACCTACTCATTCTTTTGAGTTCCTCCCTTCAATTTACTTTCTCAGTTGTTTGGGCGTCTACTCTAAAGTTTCCAGGTGGGGCTGGAGAAAGTGAGATCATCAAAGGCACAGGAAGCTCCCAGCTTCAGGAGCAGGGAAAAGTGTACGCGTTAGGGAGACCAATTGGGTGGAAGCTAGAGGACAGGCCAACCGAGTTCTGGAGTTCTGGGAGGTGGAGACAGATTCCTTCTGACTCAGGCCAGGGAAGACTTCCTGGAGGAAGGGCATTGGAGCAAATGGAGAGCTGGAGGTGATTTGGCCTGCAGAAGGAGTGGGGGAAGGTTCCAGAGCCAGGGTTGAGGATGCCAGAGGGTTCCAGAGGAGGAGGTGATAAGGACTAACGGGATGGGTGGCTCAGAAGAGATCACATCTGGCTGGAATGGCAGAGCCCCCTGGGGGTTTCAGCAGGAGCCAGAAGAAACCTGGCGGCCAAACCATGTTTCTGCTGGGCGGGTGCTGTGACCAGGCTGGTCATTTTTCTCTTTCTGCTTCAGGTTCCATATTTTAAAAACTGGACAGCCACGGTGCATTCTGTCTCCTTCAGGGTTAAAATATATGAAAATGTTTAGAAAACCATAAAGCCCCATACTGTGGATGCACATCTTTCAAAGGAGTCTTTGATTCAGACTTTGAGCTGATTCAAAATAATTAAGGTCTCCTTGCTTATCAATACTTTAACCATCTTCATTCTCCCTCAATCACAACAAAGAAAAAAATTACCATCTGTCTAAGATTTTAATGTCTTGGCGAGTACTTCCCTAACCGCTAATATTTGTTTTCCGTTAACTTCCACCTGTGGCTCTAGACCTTCTGAGGCCACACAGAAAACGTCTTGGGGGTAAATGTCACCCTGGGATTCGTTTCACCAATGAGGAAACAGCAGCTCAAAGAGGGTGAATTTTGTGACCAAGGTCGCACAGCTGCTAGCACAGCCATGGATTCAACACAGTTCCTCACTTTTCCTTATTACAGCAGCATTTCTGACAAGTGGACATTACTAAGAAGGAAAGCACAAGCTCCCAGTGCAAAGGGTGTGTCCAAAGGATGAGAGGCACATGATGGTGATGCCACAGGGAAGGGTAGTACTTCCTTCAGGAAATAGAATTGACTCAAGACTCTGGTCTGGGGCCTCTAGGTCCCTCTCCAGCCTGGAGACGTGTCCCCAGTGAGGTGACCATACAAAAAAATTTCTGCAGCATTTACTTGTAATTCTCCTTTTGTCTGAACTGTAGAGGCTGTGCCATTACCAGTAGGAAGACACCATCACCCACAATCAGGGCTTAGACCAGCAGGCCACTGGTTTCCTGGAGGGACCTGGCACATGGCCCGTCACCTCCTCAGCTTGAGGGTGGGGTGCGTGTTTGTGTGAGTCTACAGACTAGGGTTCAGATTTCAGCTCTGACATCTTACTGTTTGACCGGAGCCTCTTCGACCCTTAGTTTACTCTTCTGTAAAATGAAAATAACAGTAAAAAAATCTCATAAGATTGTTGTGATGATTAGCTAGATGGTGCATGTGAAGTGCTGCAACAATGTAAGTGGTATGGAAATTTTTATGATATACATTTATAAAAGTGCTTTGTGAGATGTGTCCTACTTTGGCACCATGTCTTTATTATCAATCCATTGGCTTCCCCTTGATCTTCCTTGGCTCCATGGAGACCAATGTTCAGGGGAAATATAAAATGAAGGTGTGAATGCTTAAAGCTGTAGAGAATGTGCCTTGTGCTCAAAGGCATCCCTGAGACGCTGTGCATGATAAAGCGCCTGTGATTCAGGCAGACGCCAGTTAGTAGGTTTTCATTGCCCTGTTGGCAGGCCCCTGCTTCCTCCCAGGAAGGGAGGCACTGGAGAGGTGGGGCAGCCGGCTCCAGACTGCCAACCCACGGCCTGCCAGCTTGCTCAAGACTCCAGAAATGTCTCTCTGGTGAAGCTGGGGAAGATTTCACAGGGGCCCTGGTTTGGTCCGGTGAGGGCTTGCTGCAGGATGAGTAAGACTTCAGAGGGGAAGCCCACATGCCTGCTTCCTGCATCTCCCCAGTGTCCTCCCTGGGAGACTGGCGCCCTGGTCATGACAACCACTCCCCTGCCCCCATGCCCACAGCAGGAGCTGGCCCAGAAGAGGCCCGCCGAGTGTGCTGAACCCAAACCCCAGAATTCAAGAACTTGGAAAGGGTTCAGCACAGCAGCTGAACCCGTGGGATCCCCAAATTGGCAACCTGGTTCTTCCCATCTCAAGTCAGGAGGACTTCTCGTTGGTTCTGGTCTGAGGCTGATAGGTAATTGTGTCAACTCAGACTGCAGTTTTCAGCACAGCCAGGGTTGTTTAGCTCTGGGAGGTGGGGAGTGGAGGACAGAATAAAAATGTAGAAGCAAAAATAAATAAACCCTTCCCCAAAGAAAGCCCTTACAATCATAAAACAATCAGAAGGTTCTCAGGAGAAATTACTGATGATTACGAACAATAAAAAGATGCAGTTGTTATAATAACAACAGTGTACATGTATACATATAATAATATTATTAGGACAGATGCCATGTACTGAGATTATGTGCCTGGAATTATGTTAAAGGCTTTACATTCATTTCCTCGTTTAATTATGAAATTCACTGTATTTGCTCATACACTCATGCAACAAATATCCAATGTGCCAGGCAGGGCACCAGGTAATGGGGACACAGGTGACAAGGACACACCCCCTCCCTCTAGAGCTAAGGGGCAGAGATTGACAAGGACACTCTACTTAGAACACAATGTGACAGCTTCAAGAATGGTCTGGAAGTGTTGAGGAGTCCAGCTGACAAAGTCCCAGAAGGCTTCCAAGGGGAGATTGGCAAGAGGAGGGGGAGACACTAAAGCTTGGCCATCGAGAAGTAGGATTCCCAGGCCTGGAAGAGAGCAGAGACGACTCTGGCACTCTGAAGCATAAGACACGAGGCAGCACACAGAGGTGAGAGCAGGAAGGACTGAATTTGGTGCTAAAGAGCTAGGACTGTGTTTTGGCCTGGGACATGGTGAGCAGCCTGGAAAGGGAATTGGGGCTCAGGCTGTCACTTTATTTATTATTATTTTTAAAATATATTTTTATAGATTTCAGAGAGGAAGGGAGAGGGAAAGAGAGACAGAAACATCAATGGTAAAAGAGAATCATTGATCAGCTGCCTCATGCATGCCCCACATTAAGGATTAAGCCTGCAATATGAGTTTTAGTTTCCTTCCCTTGAAATGAGGTCAGTAAAGAAATTATACTTACTTCTTAGGGTTTGTATATTCCCTGACCAGGAATCGAACCCTGACCTCCTCATTGATAGGTTGATGCTCAACCACTGAGCCAAGGCTAATCTCAGGCTGTCATTTTAGAAAGCTCACGTGACTGCAGTAAGGAGGATGGTCAGAGGGAGCAGGCTGGGACATGGGGACACCAGAGCGGAGGCTGCTCTATAATTTTCCAACTAAGAGCTGAGGCCTGACCCAAGGCCACAGCAGTGAAGTGGGGACTGGGTCTGATGTGTAGGCCATAGGGAGATGAGGCCAGCACTGGTGACTGATGACTGGTTAACTAAGATGCAGGAAGAATCTGGTTGGCTCTTGGTTACTGGAGCAACTGAATAAATTGGGGAAGAAAAATTGGGGGAGAAGAGAGCTCGGTTTGGGACATGAAAAACATCTGGGTGTGGAGGTCTAGGATGCATTTGGCCACAGTCCTTCCCTCACCATTTGGCTTCCCTGTTAATTAAGGATGAAGCATCTTAGACATGCTGCAGATCTGTGGTGGAACCTCACTCTCTGTGCTCCTGCAGGGGCAGCTGTGGGTCAGTCCTGATTCTAAAATCTGTCAGTCATATTCCTGGCTTCAGCATGGGGGTGGGAGGGTGTGATCTCCAGGACTCCTCCCTGTTGGGATGTTGTAGGATTTGGGATCAAGAAAATTATTTGTGGGCCAATAATTTGGGGGTGGAGGATTCTGGCTTATGCGAACAACTGGAATAATACATTGAACACTGGTCTATACAACTCATAGCACAAAAGCATCTGTGTAAAGCAACAGTAACAATAGCTGCAATTTCTCATTAATCTACCTCAGACCAACTCAGAATGTCTTAAGACATTCCCATTATAGTCATCGTAATAGTAGCTGATAGCTATTGAACTGACAATATGCAGGCATCATTCCAACCACTTATTAAGGTATACGGATTCATTTAATCCCCACCAAAACCCTAAGAAGTAAGCATAATTTCTTTACTGACCTCATTTCAAGGGAAGGAAACTAAAGCTCAGAAAGGGTAAACAACTTGCCTAAGACCACACAGGATTAGAATGTGAACCAGGCAGCCTGGCCTCGGAGCCCATATTCTTGCCCTTGCCACTCTATGGTTGCCCTAATTGATCCTGAGTCACATCCCTGTCCCTGCATCTTAGCGGAGGGCTCCTCCCACTCACTTCTAACAGGAGGGGTGAGGCTTGATCACCAAAAGCCCTGGGTGTGCACAGAAGGCAAGCCCACTGGGTACCTAGCTCAAGACGCAGGGCAGACTCATTCCCAGCCAGGGCAGCGTCAGGGGCGACAGGAGGTGCAGGCAGGCTGTTGTGGAACTCCCAGCGCTTCATCTGCAGCTGCTGCAGCCAGTACAGCATCACTTGCTTGTTGGCAGCCTAAGAAGCACAAGGGTTAGTTGGCAAGGAAGACTCTGTGCCCACAGGGTGGCACTAGATATGAGATGTGGGAAGGTCAAGGGAGGCTCGGTAATGCTCCTTTTCACTGTGGCTGGGTGCCCACCTAGAAAACACCACTGCTTCTTAGCTATAGAAGGTGATCAGGCTCTGGTCTCCCACTTAGAGGTTCCTTAACCTTGCTGGGTCTCAGGGTCCTCATCTGTACTATGGTGATGACAACACTCATTTCACAGGACGGTTGTTATGAGGATGAAATGAGGTAAGGAGGGTAAAGTGGCCAGCACAGTACTTGACATACAGTAGGTGCTCAAAATGTGCTCACTGGGTAAAGGAATTTGGAGGTGCTAAGAGAGAGGGTAAGAGCTTTAAAATTCTGGCCTGGGTTGGGCCCAGGATACCATCACTATCTCTGTCTCTCTGTGCAACATCTCAATGTCTTAGCTGACTTTTTTTGTGGAATGGAGATTCCCTTCCGTTTTAGTGTTGCACGGAAAGCATGCACATGATTGGGGACTGGAAAGCCAATGCACAGCATGACAAAGTGGCAACCTCCAGGCACTCCCCTCCCCCCCAACAGTTAATGGCTGATGCTGATTGGTCTTCTACCACTGGATGGGACAAACATCTATTCTCACATCCATTAGGTCACCAGATCCTCCAGGGAGGAGGCCGGGCAGGAGTGATCAGCCCCTTCTACAAATGGAGAAACTAAGGCTCTGAAGCCTCTTGGGTTGGTCCCAGAACCGGGGTCTCCCACTTCTCCCACTTCCAGAGCTTCGTTGTAGTTTATGGCCAGGAGATGTGGCTTATGTAGCAAAGGACTGCGATTGATTGGGCACAGAAGCTGGGCAGTTCGCTCGGAGTGGATGATGAGTCTCACAGAGCTGCTCACAATCCAGGCCACATGAGAAAAGCAGGAGGCAACCAGGGCAAGCTCCTCCTTTTAAGAGGCTCACAGGTGAGGTGTGCACGAGGCCAGGGGGCGCCAAGAAAGAGGCCCTTGGTCTGTCATAAAGATATCAAATAAGATAAGACAGGTGCCCACCAATCTTCCCTTTCTATACATTTACCCTGAGAGACCCCAGGCCTTCCCATGGCTTCACCATGACTTTGTACCAACAAGGTCCAGCTCAAAACCAAACCCATTTTATTAAATCACTGGACAAGTATCTATGAGCACCTGCTATCTGTATCAGGGACTGAGGGGGAGGCACTGGAGATACTGTGGAGAGCCAACACACACGCCTCTGTCCCCTTAGAACTTAAGAGTCTTCCAAGGAGGACATATACCCGATGTCCTACTATCTCCTCATCCTGAGTTCATCTCCTATCAGTGACTGGACCAACCAGGCAGTCAGCCAGTTACAGGAGCCATCCCTGACTCCTCTCTTACATTCTTCCTGCCTCACATCCCTAGCCACTGTCTCGCTCTGTCACTGCTCTGGCTCAGCCATCATTCTCTCGTGATCACCTCCTGATGGACTCCCTGACCTCCAGCCTTGCCTTCTCCTAATTTGTTCTCTAACCAATAACCAGACTGAGCTTTCTAAGCATTCTACTATCACAGTGCTTCCTTGCTTAAAGCTCTTTAACAATTTCCCATAACCCCCAGGACAAAGCCCAAGCTCCCTGTCATCACTCATAATGCCCTGCCCTCCCCCGGGGTTCTGTTCTCCCATTCCATCTTTTGGGTCCCTCCGTACCACAATCTCTTGGAACTTGCCTGGACACTGGGTGGTAACATGATTTCCCATCTTTGTTCATGGGGCTCGCTTGACCTGGAATAATATCCTCCCTCTTGTCTGCTGGTAGAAAACGGATGTTCTCTTTCAGGATTCAGATGTCATCCCTTCTATGATGTCCTTTCTGGATGGACCCTCCCACTCAGTGGAACTGACCCATCCTGTCACCACACTTTTTTGGTACAGACTTCCTGCGTCTTTAACAGAACATTTTACTGTGCGTGCCAATCTCCCTGCCAGTCTCTCTCACCAGATCTTAAGCTGTTTGAGCACCAGGGAGGGGGTAGGTGTAATTTGGCTCCATACCCAGTGCCTAGCACAGAACCAGGCATGAACACAGATCAATGGAATAGTAAAAGCCATGTGTTGGAGACCTTGCAGTCAGCATTCAACCTGTAGGAGGAGACACCTGTAAACCACATGACCTGTGAAATGCCTGCCTGGCCTGGCCTGGAATTCCGGGTTTCCATTATTTTATCTGATCTCCCCAGGCAGGTCTGATTGTAAAGGGGAGCTGAAGCTGTGGGCTGCATTCAGAGGCCTCAATAGATGCCCAATTGGCTGGAGGTAGGGATGGAGGGCTGGGAAGATGGGCTGGGGTGAGAAGGCTGTCTCCTGACACTTTCTTAGTTCATTCAGAGTGTGAATCCTGGAGCTCTCATTTCAAAGTGCAGATCTGCCTTTCCAGTTAAGTTCTGGGCACCTCCTCTTGGCTGCACCTCGATGTGTGTTCACTCACCAAGCATTTACTGAGCACCCACCAGGTACCAGGCTGTATTCTAGGTGCTGGGAGTCTTTCAACAATTTGTAGGTGACTTTGCTGTTCCAGACGCTTACATATCTTGTTTTAAAACTCACAAGCTGCCTACATTCCGGGAGGGTAAGTGACTTGCCCAGGGTCATGCAGCTACTAAGTAGCTGACTTAGAATTTGAATCCAATCCTGCCTGATTTCAAAGCACGTGGCCTTTCCATGTTTCAGGCTCTCTCAGTCAAACAAGATGAAACAAAACCTACTGATAAAGAAAGCAGGTTTGGATATGCCCTGATGAATAGTCTAAGCCCATGGTCGGCAAACTGCGGCTCTCGAGCCACATGAGGCTCTTTGGCCCCTTAAGTGTGGCTCTTCCACAAAATACCACGGCCTGGGTGAGTCCATTTTGAAGAAGTGGTGTTAGAAGAAGTTTAAGTTTAAAAAATTTGGCTCTCCAAAGAAATGTCATTCGTTGTACTGTTGATATTTGGCTCTGTTGACCAATGAGTTTGCCGACCACTGGTCTAAGCTGATCAGCGAAACCTCAATGTTTACCTCCCAATCCCTGCCCACTTTTCTCAGCATCCATTCCTTCTGGACAGAGAGCATCAAGAAAAGTGATTTAGAATCTAGGTCTCGAGAGAGAGGATTGCAAGCTCCTATCTTGACTATACCTCAGCCCCAAGTAAGAAAGTTAAGGTAACTAACTGCCTTGTCAGGCACCCTCCAAAATTAGGATGCGGTACTGAGAGGAAGTAAGACTATGAGATTCCAAGAATGTGCTACATACACCGCCCTCCGCCCTCCGGGGTGCCTGAGGTGGGGCCAGTCCCTTCATCTCTCTGCCTCAGTTTCCCCGATCCCAACTATGGACCCCACACTCCTGCCTTTGTTGAGGGAACCAAGTGAGGAACTGGGGGCGAATGTGCTTCCGAAATCACAAAGCCTGGGCTCCCAGGGCTCACTGGGCGATCAGGATCAGAGATCCTTTTCCCGATAAATTGACTGTGACCTCCCACAGGCGCTCGGCCGTGCCCCGGGGAACCCATCCTCGGTTAAAAGGGGAAAGCGGCTCCATTTACCTTCAGGGTGATAACCCGGCTGGGAGTCTTGATCTCGAAAGTTCCCTCCTCGGAGGCGTCGGGCTTGCAGTCGAAGACCGCCCCGGAGAGGTCGATGCTGTCCAGGGGGTTGGCGTCCTGCGCGGTCCGCGAATAATACAGGTGGCATTTCCTCTCGTCGTAGAAGAACCAGCGAGATTTCCAGCCGCGGAGGGGCCCCTTGCCGCCAAACTTACTCAGGTAGCCGCAGAGTTTCTTGGGGGCCGTGTCCGGGGGCCGCGCGCAGCCCCCGGGCTCCTCCTCGGGAGGCAGCAGCTCGGGGCCCCGAGTCTCAGGCTCCCCGGACCTGAGGGCAGGGGAACTGGGCTCCGGGGGCTTCTCCCGGGCGCCCTCCATCGCCGCACAGGGTGAGGAGGCCCGCAGCCCGACTCGGGTCCAATCTCGGAGGCTCTGAGGGCGATGTGGGCGCGCGGGCGGGCCCAGGGGTGACCCGCGGCGGTGAGCGCGCCGCACCGACCCAAAGCCCGGGAGGGTGGCGGGCCACACCCCTCCGCCCCGCGGAAGCCAGGCTACGCCCACCGACACGCCCCCTCAGGTCCGTTACCCCGCCCACTTCCGGGTCTTGTACCTGCCCGTCAATCATCTTAACTGAGGGCAGCTGCGGGGCGGGAGGAGGGCCTCCGGCTGGGGGCGGGGTGTCTCTGAGCTAGGCTAACGGGCGGGAAAGGAACGGGAAGGAAGGGACACCGGTCACGGACGATGCCGTCCTGGGAACTCGCGTAGTGATGTCTAAGGAAAGGTCCTCACGCCCATGGGCTGCCGCCTTCCCCTCCCGGGCCGCGCGGGTCTCCGTCGGACGGCGCATCGCGCGCCCATTGGCTGAGAGAGACGCCGGGCTCAGTGGCACCACTTCCGGTGTTGCGGGGCGTGTTGGGCTCCTGGGTTCGGCCGCCAACTTTTCCTCTTTGGTTTAGTTGTGCGCCTTCGTGGCTCTCAGCCGGCCGCGGCGGCCTCCCCCGCCTCAGTCCCAACTCCAGCTCACCACCTGCCGGCGCCGGCTGCATCAATACAGGGCGCCCCGGCTGCTGCTGCGCCGCTGGGCGGGGTGGGGCTCGGTAAATTTTGCAGGAACTAATGATGAGAAACTGTACCGAGGCCCCAACTCGCTCAACTTCCTGCCTCTTCTGATCTCTTGCCCTTAACTCTTTCTTCCAGCCTAGGGCGCATTCTTCCATCTGGGCCGTGGAGCCCATTTTTGTCCACCCCTCTAGCCCTTTCTTAGCCTCTTCTCTTCCTTTTGTTGACAAATATGTTTGATATAGCATTACTTATTATTTCAAAAAATTGGAAGGAATGGCCCTGACTGGTTTGGCTCAGTGGATTGAGCATTGGCCTGCGGACTGAAGGGTCCCAGGTTCGGTCAAGGGCATGTACCGTGGTTGCAGGCACATCCCCAGTAGGGGTTATGCAGGAGGCATCTGATTCATGTTTCTCTCTCATCGATATTTCTCTCTATCCCTCTTCCTTCCTCTCTGTAAAAAAAAAAAAAAAAAAAAAATCAATAAAATATGTTTTTAAAAAACTGGAAGGAATATAAATGACCCAAAATACGAAATTGATTAAGTAACTGATTTGGTACTTTTTGCAGAAGGATATGGACTTGTACGGAAAATATTAGGTTGAAAAAACAGGCCACAAAACTGTTTTCGAAAAACTTACTTAGCTAAACAGTATGTTTATGACAGTAAGGATGGAAAGATAATGTGTAATATATGAGTATTAGGGACATTAAAGGGGAACTCCTGTTGATCTAAATGCATTAATTGCTGCATATCCTAATAATGGATACACTTCTGGTAATTACATCAAAATATAGTCAATATCCGCCCATCCTCCTTGGAGGAGATTGTTAAGCTGCAGAGTAAGAGGTTGTCCCGAAGTGACACCTTGTGGCCTTTGTGGTGTACTGCCCTTGTCTGCAATAGGCGTTCCCAAGCTTTTTTTGTCAAAGGGTTTAAAAGAGGCACTCAGGAATAACCCTCCCACAACATAACCCAAACAGGTAGGTTAGTAATCTGACATCCTTAAAAACAACATATTTTACATAGACCTTCAACCCACTTATTTAGTGAAGGCAAGAGAAACAGGTTATCAACAAAAGCATGTGTTTCTTCATGTTCAGTAAGGGTGTATTACATGCACTAATAAACATTATATTTTAAGTTACTTGGAGGTGTTTTGTCGATTTTTTCCTTCTCTTTCTATGGGCTAGTTTTAGTTCTCTTATGAAGGAAAGAATACAGTCTTATTGAAAATACGTTTAAAAATGTTAGGCTTTCTGCTGAACATCATGATATACTTTACAACATACCTATTTTTGAGTAGTATCATTTTTAATGGATAAAACCCAAGGATTCATGTTTATCTGATACATGATTTTCAAATAGATAATGTTTAAAGAAATTAGGTTCATTTAAACTGACAAGCCATTTGCAAACACGGTTCTCATTGGCAGTTTTCCTATAAAATATTAAATCAGGCAAACAGATAAACAACGTTCAATTTTGCAATTTAACATGACACTCGAGGTCAAAATTGGCTCCCCAGCTACTTGGCAGGATCACTGTAACAAATGTCTACTTCATCAGTCCAATTTTGCATGACTGAGCCTCATGGAAATTCAGTTCTACACAGCAAGCACATGTTTTACAGCACTGACTAGAATCTTGAAAGAAATGACCTAGACAGTGCAGACATTGAAGACTGTTCTATTTTATATCCTATTTCAAATTCTGAATGTAAACCAGATTATACAAAAGAAACTTTAGTTCCAGGGAAACTTGCTTTTAAATTTTTTATTTTATTTTAAAGAATCAAATAACATGAGAGAATATTTTTAGTTTAATCTTCACAAGTATATAAGCCAGATAAATATATTTTTTAAAAAACAACACACCTAGATTTCCAAGTTTTATGTTCTTGGCGTGCTTGGTAAGAAATGTAGGAGTGTCATTTAATGGGTGGGGAGAGAAAGTTCTAATGGGAAATTAAATACCAAGTACTTTCATCACTTCTCCTTTAGAGTCTTCAGAGTTAGACTGTCTGTATTTGAATTCTGGCTCTATAATCACAGATGTCGGACCTTGGACATAGTTACTTAGCCTCTCTGCCTGAGTTTCTTCTTCTGTATAACAGGTAATTATATTACCTACCAGGTAGGTTACTACATGATTATGTGAGATAAGCCACATAAAGTGCTTACACAGTGTCTGGCCCATAGAAAGCATTTGGCAAGTGTTAGCTACTAGGATTAGCATGAGTTCTAGGAATCCTAGGGCCTTTAAGCTGGTAGGGACCTCCCAGCATTCATTTGTACCAGATCATTTTCTAAACTCTCTTATTTTTATTCAAGATTCTGTAACTAAACACTGTAACACATGCTTGGCATGTAGTTACCCTTGGTGGGAATGGGTAGTGGGGAAGATAGTATGAGGATTCTCCCCTATTGGGGTGGAGAGGTTATTTGCAGCAAGAAACTGGGAGAGGGAAGGAGTTAAATTTGGCACTACCTCCATTCTAGAATTTTCCCTCCATCCCTCCTCCCTCCTTTCTTCCCTACCTTTTCTTTCTTTCCAGCCCACTGTCTCATCATCTATATAATATTTTGTCTCATGGAAATGAGGTTTCACTAATTTTTCTCGAGACTAGAGCAGATGCAGATGAGATTTGGCATTTACTTCTGTTTCCTGCAGAAAATCTTTTCCCAAAGTATGTTCAGTCGTAGCTTGTTGTGTGCTGTTTGTCTTTATGCTGCAGAATCTTCATAGACTCTAATGGATTTTTTTTTTTTTTACCGCCCAGGAAAAGGCATATTTTATTGAGGTATATAATAAATGATGTGTGATTTCTTTATATACATTTATAATTTTTATAGAAATATGTATATATAAAATATACATATTTATATTTTTATATGTATATCTATGTGTAAAAGGGTAAGTGACCGTCTGACCATTTGACTGGCCAGTAGGTATGATGCGCATTGACCACCAGAGGGCAGATGCTCAATGCAGGAGCTGCTGAGCTGTGGTGACTTGGCAGCAGTGGTTCTCAGGTGACGCAACCCAGAACCAGAGAGGAAGGAGCCCAATTCCTCGAGGGGCTGTGCGATTCCACCTTCGGCCGTGGGTTATGTTGTTGCAGGGGCACTGTTGACCCAGAATCTGGTTTACTGTGGAGCTGCAGTGACCGCAGATGCCCTTTTGAGCCACTGTGCTGCCCCAGGTGCAGCTGGCCGGGAGGGACTGCAGGAGGTTGGCTCTAGGGCATGTCCGGCCCCATCTTGCCCTGTCTCACCCCACTGGCCACTTTCTAATTTATTTCCTTTCAATATGCATGAGTCTCTGTGTGTGTGTCTATATGTATATGTGTTACTATACACATATAATCACATATCGTAAGTGTACAGCTCAAAAAAAATTTTTTCTGTTGTTAATCTTCACTCAAGGATAATTTTCCATTGATATTTAGGGAGAGTGGAGGAGAGAGGGAAAGACAGAGAGAAACATCAATGTGAGAGAAGCCCATTGACTGGTTGCCTCCTGCACAAGATCTGACCAGGAACCAGGCCAGGGAGTAGCCTGCAACCAAGATACAGGCCCTGGACCAGAATTGAACCCGGGACCTTTGGTCCACAGACTGATGCTCTAGCCACTGAGCCAAACAGGCTAGGGCTCAAAGAATTTTTATGTAGTGAACACAGGCCTGTAAACACTGCTCAGATCAAGAGCCAGAACATTACTAGCACCCAAAAGCTTTCCTCACACTATGTTCCCCACCCAGGGTAACCACTATTGTGATGTCTAAAAATTAGTTTTGCTTCTTTTTAAACTTATTCAGGAATCTTACAATACATCCTCTTTTATGTCTGGCTTCTTTCACTTTGCATTTTTAATTTCTTTTTTTTTTTTTTAGATTCATTAATATTGTCACGTGTAGTTTTAGTTTTTTCCATTCTCACTGCTGTATAATATCCCGCTCTGTGAATATTCTACATCATATTTTTTTCTGACCTACCGTTGATAGCATTTGCCAGCCTGGTCATTTCTAAGCAGTGAATATAATATCCAGGCTGGCATTTCCCCTAGAAGGGTGAGCATCTTCTATCTTGCCTTTGGATGCTGGCAGAATCTTCTGTTGGCTTTTGGAGGCTTGAATGCTTCAGATGCAGTGGTCAGGGGGGATGTGGGCGATGAGCACCTTGGGCAGAGTTTTGTTTCTGCTTCCTCCATGTTGTTGGCCAGCTTGGGCTTCAGTGCAGTAAGGGTTTCCCCTTCTCATGTTTTCTGGGCCAGAAGTGCCCAGACTGGGGTTTATAGCCTCAGTCTATTCCACAG